TTTATCTCAACCAAACTGCTTCTCACTGGACTATTTTTTTGCATATTATCTTTACTTTTATTGTTTCTTTTTGCTGCTATGTTGCTCAATGCAAACTTAAGCAAGTTTGGATAGAGTATATAAGAGATCCTTCCTGCTGCCATTAACATCTATGCAGCTGGTTGAAGAAACTCCTTTAACAGTCTCAGCATTAATTTCCCTTTTGGATCAGTTAAGTATTTTTTAATTGAAGACCCAATTGCAATGCCTTGCTGCCATGTGGTTGACTGATTTACTAGCACATTTTAGTAAAAATAAGAAGCCGTAAAATGAGAAACCATCTAGTCTGATATGAATTTTTTTTTATTATTGATTCCTAAAAACAATGTTAGCCTCTCAAGATTTGCTGCTGCTGTTTGTTGTTTTGCTTTAAATTGGTTGTTAACAAGGAGAGAAATGGATCCAAAATGGCTAAGGGCCACAGTTCTATTGTTAAGGGTCTCTTTTGTTTGATTATTGATCCATATTTGGTTAAAGAAAAAGCTAATTCTAGACTAGAGTCACAAACTAAGTTATTTTTACCTTATCAGTATATATAAGTAGAAGGTATGCCATGGATAAAGCTGCCTGCTTAAGTGTTGTAGACCAAACACCGGTTGATAAACCTCTCAGGTTTGTTATTTGCATTGTGTGTAACCGAGTTGATGAAAGTATGTGTATCAGCAGTGGGTGATTCAAATCACACAACACAGTTCCACATCCTTCTTTACTCTTTCCGGTCTGTTAGGAGTTTCTGTTGGTACATACCATCCCAAAAGTAGAGAGGGAGGCAAAATAGTTTCTAACTGGCCCCTTCCACCTCACTTAGATGATAAGCTGCATTTCAGGTGGCTGAAAAAGATATCTAATATCATTATTTCCTGGTTTTTGTTTCCATTTTTGTTTCTTGGAGTTTCCATTTTTCCTCTTATTGGTTTATGTTCTTGTTAATTAGGCAGCCTCAGTTGCTTTTAAAGCAGGAAAATACCCATCTGGAAAATGGGCAAAGTATGTAAAAAAACAGGTTTGGTTCAGATTGTCTCCAAAACATACCTTTAACCCAAAATGCATAACTTTTCTTTGTTCCAAAGAGTTTTCAAAACATCTCTGTCTTTTAAGATGTGCAGGACGCCTTTCTCACATATGATATGTAATTTTCATTACCATTTATGATCTAATGTCTAGGAAATTGTAATTTTTGCATGTTCAATTTAAGGATTGTTCTTTATTTCTTTTGCTACAGCATAATGTAGGGCTTGGATTGATCGGTTGTTGTTGTTATTAAGCTTGTATTTGTGTCAGTGACAGTCAGAAAACCATGTTGCTGGATCCATGCAGGGATTTCCGCTGCAGACTCTTGTTTTTAATACAGCTCTGCCTTAAGGGCCTTAACTTCACAGTCTTTTAATAACAGTCATAAGGCATGTTACGTTTGCACAGGGGGATTGTGTGAATCTCTTAATAATATTAGGCAGTTAAAGATCCCAGTCATATTTAATGTTGCAGTTTATGCAATTTTGCTCTGGTGTCAAATCTAATTTTGGTTTTGTTGATGTTTTTTTTTTATGAAAAAAAGAGAGATTTATTTTAGTCTTTCTCCCTGTGTTCCACCCTCTGTCAGTAATAGTGGGTTTAAATGGGATTTATCTAATGAGGATCTTGGTTGTTTTAGCAACAACTAACCTTTTAGTCTCATTGTTTGCATTAAAAAATAACAAACTGCAGGGATCCAGCAGAGATAAGCACAGTAGACTATTAGCTTGTTCCCAGGGGTCTCCAAAAGGAGCAGTCTTCTCCATGCCTGGACTTCCCGTGGCAGCTACTTCCTGTCTGCTTCCTGTTTGATGGCCGACAAAAAAATGCTCTATGAGGCAGATTTTTGATGAACTTTAGAAGAAAAAAAAAAGTTGTGATTGTGTTTCAAGTCATTTTCCCTTAACTCTTCTATGAGCTGTTGTGTGAAGCAGGAGCTGCTGTTTTCTAGAGCTGATTGAACATTTCAGTATACAGAGTCAGCTGACAACAACCTCCCCCTAATCAACAAATCATCACGGTTCTGAGTATAGCTTTGCTAATTTGCTCTAATGCGTAGACATGGTTACAGGTTGGAGCAGTTAAACAGTTGTGATGAAGAAGTTCTCATTCAAGAGGTGGAACATCTGCATGTTGCTTTAAATATCTCCTTTCATCACCCAGTGTGGCTACATGGGGAGGCTGCTGTAACCACAGCTTCTGGAAAACTGCAGAGGGCTGGTCACAAGCTGAATGGATGTTAGACTTGTTTTTCTGAACAGACCGTTACATTTTCTTTTTCCGTTTTGTTTTCTGAAGCCGTTTATTCAAGCTATATGATTCTGCTCCAGGCTTGTTATGAAGGGGAAACACTGTAGCTGGAATCTTTTCATGCTCTTTGTTTTCCACGGCGTTCTTCGGAGACAGGCAGAGAGGAAATGACCTCCACACACCAGGGATACAAACAGGAGCAAAGTGTGTCACCGCACACTCACACGTCGACATTCCTACACAGGATCGTTGTCTGAAAGTGGCTCTAATGGGGGAAGAAGGGAAGGCTTACAGGAGGCTATTTATGAGGAGTATCGCTGAGCTCTGAGTCACAGCTTGTGGTTAAAAACAACTTGATGTCACGAAGGAAGAAAAAAACTATAGAGGAGTGACGGAGTTGTAGGGTGTTCTTGTAATCCTGTGGAGACTACTAACGTGGGACAAATTTATTCTCCAGATTTGGAAAAGAAAAAATCTTTAAAAAGTTAACTTTTACCTTATATAGCCATTCACCATTCCTTCTCTAATTGGAAACCAAACTAGATGGTCATCAGTGATTGTGTTTTCAATTCAGACAGGCTAGATGAACTATTTCATACAGGGCATGTGGCTCTCAATCCAGAGTGGCACAGCCTTTGGAGTAGTTACTAAAAACAGAAACAGTTTTTTTTTCTAACTTTAATCTATGTCCAAACATCAAGAGTCCTAATAAAATTTCTGTCAACTGTAGTTAACAGCTGTTGTCTGTGATCTCATAGATAACATCCATCCAGCAGCAGAAAGATCACCTGCCCTGTCAAAAAAGTTGCCTGTGCAGCATGTGAGATAAAGAATGAGAAAAATGTCAAAAAAAAAAAGAAAAAAGTTGGGGTTCTTCCTGTCCTTACTGCCATTAATTAGGAGCGGCAACATCTGCAGCGACATCTATGGTTTAAAATCAGAATTGCTATCAGCGCCAAACAGATAGAGGCCTACCACCTCTACTCCCTTTAATATTAACCCTTAGCATTACAGTGTTAGATGACCTAGAAACTGACCAATACAGGTTTTTAAAGGCCGATGGTCGTACCAGTTGTTTTGACATCAGTCTAAAACATCTGTTGCCAACGTTTTTTGGCCGATTCTTAGAGACAATATTTCTTTTTCCGTTCACATGTTCACACAATAACGACAATTGTTACACAAGTCTCAATTTAAACAAACAAAATAGCTATAATTTAAATTTTAGCTGTTTATTCTGCAGCGAAATCAAAATTGCTATTAATAGATGCTAGTTCAAAATGTGCAATTACACGAGTCACCCCAAGGGAATTGGTTAGTGTATTAGGGGTGGGTATTGCCAAAGAAGTCACGATTCGATTCGAATCACGATTCACAGGCCACGATGCGATTCTTTCACGATGCATCACGATACTTGAATTATTGCGATGCATTGCAATATTTTCTCCTCCATGTTTTGTTTTTGAATGACTCGGCGCAGTATCCCACGGCTGGAAATGCTTGTGACACAAGGCAGCGTGCGTCAACACATTTGCAGCGACATCTCCTGGACTGGAAGTTGTATTACACTTGTTTTTGGCTGATGTTCGCCAACCATTCATGCAATTTTATTTATTCATTTTTTTAAATTAATAATCGATACTTGGCGTCAAGAATCGATGCAGTAGATCACGAAAATTAGAATCACGATGCATCATCATGACGATTATTTTGCACACCCCTATAGTGTATGCACATATGGGCTGCTAAAAGAAAAAAGCTCATTAGAATCCAGATGATTAAACTTGCCTTTCATGTCAGAATAGCTGAAAGAATTCTGGCACTAAAGAATAAACCTTAGCTTTAAGAAAACGCGGCTATTAATGACACAGAAGTTGATGTGTAAGATGAGGCTTCTGGTGTTTTTTATTTTAATGTTCCCCTTTTTTTATGTTTTAATGTGCTTGTCTTTTAACCCTTTGAGCCCGGCGGGCCTGGTACCGGAACCATCTGACACCTGCTAATATTTATCTATTTATAGAAATGGTCAAAACACAATCACATGGTGTTTCATCCACACACCTTTTAAATGGGGCTTTAAAATTCATCTTATTCAGTTCAAATGTGCTTGAGTTATAGTCAATATGTGGATGTGTGAAGTCTGAGGGTTCATCCAGAGTTTGAAATGGGGTTTCACGGTGTTTTGCAGTGTTTATTTTGGAAAAAAATTGGCGAGGCTAAATATTTTTTATTTTTTATTTTCTTAATAACCTATAAATCAGACACGTTGGCATTTAAAATAGCGGTTCCACCTGAAAAGTATTCCTCAATGCCTTTCTGTCATACAAATACAAACAATTGTATTTCCGATTAATAATTTGGAAGCTGTACTTGCTTTAATTCACATCTGTAATTTCAGGCGGAATTTGCTCCTAAGACTCTCAGGCTTAAGGGGTTAATTAATCTAGACTGTGTTTAATGATCTTTAGCATAACATCTAAAGACTGGAATATGCTATACTGAACTGATTCTTTAATAAACAGATTGGTCGTTTTTGTTTTGTAATTGCAGTCATCTTAGATGGTAAAAATTGTTGCTCTAGACATATAAGAAACCTATACTCCAAACCTTAATTGGACTGATGAGTGGATTGAGATAAAAGCTGCAAAATATAGTGTTATCTTTTTAAACTCCTTTCTGGTTTAACTCTCTCTCTTTAGATGCTGTTCCAGAGGAGCTGGTTGAGCCTTTCTACAAGGACCAATACAGTCAGGAACACCTGAAGCCTCCGGTCGCCTGCCTGCTTCAGTCCGCAGAGCTGTACTGCCGTGCAGGAAGCCTTATCCTCCGCAGCGATGCTGTCAAACCTTTACTGGGACACAATGCCGTCATCCAAGCCCTGGCCCAGAAGGGGCTGTATGTCACTGACCAGGACAGACTGGTCACTGAGAGAGACCTGACCAGCACGCCCATACACATGGTGAGTAGAGGAGTGGGGATGGATATATTCAGGGGCAAAGTAGAATCGCAAAACAAGACTTCACTTTGCTCCTTGGATGAATTGAAATCTCTTTTTTTTATTTTTATCTTCTACGTGAAACTTTTCCACGCCTTAAATGTTCAGATTTGGTAACCATGGAGATTTCATGTAAAATATAAGTGATTTATTCACAACTCGGTTCAGTTTGCTGACCAGAGGTGTAAAAACTGTAAATATCATGAAAGCATAGTTAATAGAAGCCAGTCCATGGGCAGAGGAGAAAACAAATCCTTTTCATCCAGAAGTTGACTTGGCAAACCAATGAGAGAAGCCCTGAAAGGCAGGACTAGACGAGGTGATTATTTGTGTATGGACTGTAGGAGGAAGCTGTAGTACCTGAGGAGATTCATTAGCAGCCTCAACTAATTGGCTGATTTGAGTCACTTTAGGTTTTTAATCACTATATAGTTGTTGCACCTTTGACTGTGAGTTCACCTCTTTAGTAAGCCTGTTGCATAATATATTGCATGTACGATACTTATATTTAGACTCAAAATTATTCATATGGCGGGCAGATTATTTTCTGTGAAAACATGTTTCATTACATGCATCATCAGACAGCTTAGGACAAACCTTCCTGTGCTCAAACCACAATCATATTTTGAGAGGTTCTCACTGCAGGGAGTTTTTGCATCTTAGCCACTAAACTCCATTTTATAGCCTCTAAATGTTACTTAGAGGCCATACAATAAAATGCATTAGGGAATGAAATGTGATAATTTACCAATAACTGCATCTAATCAGTCCTATATGTGATGTTGTTCATGGGTGGTTAAACTCTAGTATGAGTTTGGAGTATTCTGACCCCCATTCATTTCTTTCTGACTATTTAAACCCTTTAAGAGGCCATTTGTGTCTAAGCTCGAATATAATCATCTGACCTGATAAAGAGGATGTTAGGGGAGGTCAAGGTGAATTAATCTGATATTTCAGCGACACGGCGATGGCACGCATGGATGGAGACGGGGCGTTTCTGCTCTTGCCAAGAGGGGTCTGCAGCACAGTGCACTCAGTCCTTCTTCTTCCCTGCCCTCACAGTCTGTGGTGTTTTTACCTTTGCTCCCACAGGTTTCCTTACCTTACCTGTAAAGTAGAAATAAATGTGTGTTCTCAGTTTGTCACACCACAGAAATATGTTTTTATTAATCATGCATCTGAACAGCTAAGCATATAAAATTAGAGCTCAAAAGTATTGGAAAAAAAAGTCAACTGCATCCAAGCGCTGTTGTATTTCAATGCAACGGCTTTAATGAGAAAAAAAACCAACTATTCTATTTACATTCTGATTTTAAATTCATGGGAGATTAGTGGAATGTTTGCGTATGTGTGACTCATGTTGAATGTGGAAACAGAAGAGTTGCTCTGCTTTCTGACTGCAGACAGTGGCTGCAGCTGCTGCGTCTGAGTCCCTGCGTTTTTAAGAATGGAGGGGCTCAAAGCAGTGCATGTGCTATCGAAGTCCTCAAGGAGAGGAAAAAAGTAGCTAATTTGTCACTTTTTTGATAAACAGCCACCAGACAGGGTCTGAAAAGGCACTAGATAAAGGCGCTGAGTTGGCAACAATGCAGAAACAGCTTCACAGTTTGTTTGTATACTGCTGGGCCAGCAGGGGGCGGGGCTAAGCTGAAGGCAGCCATATGACGACATGAGGCCGCACTTTTAAATGCAAAAAAAATCCAGAAACACAGCAATATTGAAAACCATGAATTAAATTCTAGCGTCACAGTGCAATCATAAAAGGTTGGCAGACTTTTTGTTAGGGGTGAGCTTCAAGGTTAGCTCTCACATAGAGTATAAAGTTAAAAGTTCACCTTTTCTGTTGCCGTTGTTATATAAAGCATTTTAAGATCATTTGAGGCGAGAATATTATACTTTTAAGCTTCACTATATGGCCCGTTTACTAATAAAAAAATTTTTTCCCATGTTGAGAGGACCGTGGCAACCAGCAGACCACTGAGTCGAACCGCAGCCAAGGCTAATGGCCCGTCTGCCGCAGCCCTCTCTCAGCATACCTGATTTTTTTAGGGAATGAAATGTGATAATTTACCAATAACTGCATCTAATCAGTCCTATATGTGATGTTGTTCATGGGTGGTTAAACTCTAGTATGAGTTTGGAGTATTCTGACCCCCATTCATTTCTTTCTGACTATTTAAACCCTTTAAGAGGCCATTTGTGTCTAAGCTCGAATATAATCATCTGACCTGATAAAGAGGATGTTAGGGGAGGTCAAGGTGAATTAATCTGATATTTCAGCGACACGGCGATGGCACGCATGGATGGAGACGGGGCGTTTCTGCTCTTGCCAAGAGGGGTCTGCAGCACAGTGCACTCAGTCCTTCTTCTTCCCTGCCCTCACAGTCTGTGGCGTTTTTACCTTTGCTCCCACAGGTTTCCTTACCTTACCTGTAAAGTAGAAATAAATGTGTGTTCTCAGTTTGTCACACCACAGAAATATGTTTTTATTAATCATGCATCTGAACAGCTAAGCATATAAAATTAGAGCTCAAAAGTATTGGAAAAAAAAGTCAACTGCATCCAAGCGCTGTTGTATTTCAATGCAACGGCTTTAATGAGAAAAAAAACCAACTATTCTATTTACATTCTGATTTTAAATTCATGGGAGATTAGTGGAATGTTTGCGTATGTGTGACTCATGTTGAATGTGGAAACAGAAGAGTTGCTCTGCTTTCTGACTGCAGACAGTGGCTGCAGCTGCTGCGTCTGAGTCCCTGCGTTTTTAAGAATGGAGGGGCTCAAAGCAGTGCATGTGCTATCGAAGTCCTCAAGGAGAGGAAAAAAGTAGCTAATTTGTCACTTTTTTGATAAACAGCCACCAGACAGGGTCTGAAAAGGCACTAGATAAAGGCGCTGAGTTGGCAACAATGCAGAAACAGCTTCACAGTTTGTTTGTATACTGCTGGGCCAGCAGGGGGCGGGGCTAAGCTGAAGGCAGCCATATGACGACATGAGGCCGCACTTTTAAATGCAAAAAAAATCCAGAAACACAGCAATATTGAAAACCATGAATTAAATTCTAGCGTCACAGTGCAATCATAAAAGGTTGGCAGACTTTTTGTTAGGGGTGAGCTTCAAGGTTAGCTCTCACATAGAGTATAAAGTTAAAAGTTCACCTTTTCTGTTGCCGTTGTTATATAAAGCATTTTAAGATCATTTGAGGCGAGAATATTATACTTTTAAGCTTCACTATATGGCCCGTTTACTAATAAAAATTTTTTTTCCCATGTTGAGAGGACCGTGGCAACCAGCAGACCACTGAGTCGAACCGCAGCCAAGGCTAATGGCCCGTCTGCCGCAGCCCTCTCTCAGCATACCTGATTTTTTTTATTTTTTTGGCAAATCAATTGTTTGATTTGTTGTTATCATTATACCCCCACAAAATTAAAAAAGTTGGAATTTATAATTATCTAGAGACTATTAATAACAGGAGGTGAAACGCAGTTCCAGACTAGCTTTGAATGTGGTGATGTCACAAATGTGTTTCTATTCCAATTGACCCAGATTTAATCTACATGCTCCTATTCTCCCCAAAGTCCAAGCTTTCCTGTGTTCTTGTCAAGGATGTGCTTGGCGAGAACACAAGTCAATACTCGCGTTTTGTGAATTGAGAAACGGCCTATGTCTTCTACTGTGACTGCCTTAACTACAGATATGGCGCTGCGCCGCACAGCAAAACGGCTCCACGGAGCCATCTACCAGAGTGGCGGTGCAGAGGTGGCTTAATTTCTTTCGTTGTTTTGGGTTAAAATGTTATCTTTTTTTAAAATAGATACTAGGAATTGAAAGATCGATATCATATCCGGCAGCCGAAAATCACAATATATGAGTAGAATGATACATTTATGACATTTATAATGTGTTTTGCTGAAAATTGGGGAATTATTTATATTTTTATATATATATATATATATATATATATATATATATATATATATATACCACCTGTCTTTTCTAAATACCCTTTATTGTTGCATTTTATTGGCTCTGCACTCCTGCTCTCAATTTTTTCACCGCTTACACTTGAAATAAATTTAGCGTTAACATGTTTAGGACATTTTTATGTTCAGGTTTGATTGCTTATTGATCCAGAAAGCCACAAAGAGAGGCATGAAGGAGGAAATGATTTGTTCAGTCAGACCTCCTGTGTGGTTTATAGTTCCAGATTTAGTGACTACATTAACTAGATGCATTTTGCCGGTTTCTAATTTTCCTCTCAAACACATTGATCTTTTTTATAGAGGTATTTGTTAATCTTTCTTCGTCTCTGCTTATTAAAGAATTTAAAAAGTGTGTTTCTGTGGAGTCAGCAGGAACCTTTCAGTGATGCAGAAGTGGGGGCTTTTCTGTTCGGGTTACGGTGCATATCTGGAGAGAAAATGATGACCTCATGGTTTTCCAAATACTGTGTGCCAGAGGAATAACTCATGTCAGGGAGGAGGAGGAGAAGGAGGAGTATGGCATTCAGTCAGAGGGGGGGTGAATAAGGAGGAAGAGGGGGAGTTTAAGGGCAGCCATTTGGGTCTGATCCAGGAGGAAGCAGGAAAGTAAGGCGGGAGAAAAGGGTGAAGACATTGGAGGACATAAGAAGAGCTATGAAACTGGTGGGAGGAAAAAAGAGAGAAAATGAGTGGAACAGACCAACTTTTAATGTATCAATCTGGAAGGAAGCGAGAGGAGGGGAAAAAGGAGCAAGACAAAGGAGGAGGATTGTGGAACTGGCTAGGAGGATGAGGAAGGCGTGATGTGCACTAGAAAGTGGTGCAAAGTAGAGGGTGGGGTCTCACACCGAGTCAAAGCTCATCTGGTGCACAAATGATACCCTCTGTACCAGAAGCACAGCCATCTCCAGCTATCTGCACAAGGTTTATCAGATCCTTTTCTACAAAATTTCTAATGTCTTAATGAAGTATCTGTGTTATCTGCATGTTTGCTACTGTAAGGCTGAAATGAGTGATGAGGCAGAGGGGGTGTGGAAAGTGAAAGCCTGCAGGAGTAGGCGTGCATTATGGGTAATGCTTCACCTTCATTTACTGTTCTGCACCTTGCACATTGTCACATTTTCTGTGTTTTGCCATGATTGGACCTGCTGCTGCTTCTTTGGCATGGCTGAGTGCCTTTAGTTGATTTAGTTGTGTATGTTGTTATTATTATTGTTGTGTGTTTGCTTGTCTGTACTGTATATATTTGACCTTTTGCACGGGAGCTGCAATGGAAATTTCGTTGAATTTTGTTCAGTGACAATAAATGCTATCTATTTCTCTATTTCTATGAATGAAGGTGAAGGGAAAAAAAATGGGAAGGGAAGGAGCAGATGCACAGATGTGAAGCTGTGCTGTAAAACCACTTGTTTGTGACTCTGAATGGACACTTTTCTATGTTTGTGGACAATTGGTTGGTTTGATTATGTTTGTTCAGGTGTATTTAACTGTCCTATGGACGCCTTTGATGAAGGACACACATGTGCACACCCTAGCAGCCATGCAACGGTGGTGGACGAATACTGATGGTTTGCATGAGCAGCTTCTTACCACTCTTTGTTACTATGGTCTGCCATCTCCAATCGCCTTAAAAGGCGTGTCTGTCACTGTGAGACTTTTAGACTCACTGCTTCACTCAAACAGACAGACACCCACCCCACACACACCATAAAAGTCTTTGTCAAGGCATAATAGGCAGCACATGGCTTTTAAATCTATGCCTTAGAGTCAACACTGGTGTCTTTTTTCCTGCTGTAGAGACATTTAAAGCTGAATGAAGTTTTAAAACAAATATATTGAGCTTTTAACATCTAACACAGTACAGTACAATCTGTCATTCAAACATGAACAGGGGATTGCACAACTGCAGACCTATCTACCTAAAATGACCTGTTTTGGAAATGTTTTGGGAGAAACATTCTTATTTATGCTGTAAAATCAGGAAATGTGGAAACGTTCAACAGATGTAGCATCAGTTTTGCAAGAGAATGTTAATATTTCTAGCTAATGTCTGTCTGTCCTTTTTCTTATCCCTTATTTTGGCCTGTCACCTATTTAGAAAGCTTAATATAGAAAAGCACTTCCACAAAGTGTTTTATTTAGAGATGGGTGAGTTTTTACTGAAAAACATCTTTACAATAGGCTTTTTATTTTACCCTTTAGGACTAAAATATTTTTTGTTGACAGACTGACACCTCAGAGGTTCATCATCTATTAGCCTTTAGCCTATTTTCCTAAATTTACTTTGGGTCAATAGTTCAAACACTGTTTCTCCAAAGCTCTCCTCGCAAAGCATTCTGGGATATATCTGCTCGTCTAGTGACCATGGATGATAACTACTTTTCAAGTTGCATTTTGGGAAATTTCGGACACTCATCTAACCATTATATAGTGTCCTATATAGTGATTATGGCAGAGATTAAGGTACAGCTGATGTTAATTGGGACCTTATATTCAAGATGGATTTTGTGGATACTTAGAAGCCACCAGCATCCAGCTCAACTCTGACCCCATAAAGTAAAAAAAAACAACAAAAAAAACATCACATGATATGCAAGCTGCAAGAACGGACAGAAGGGTGCTGCAGTTCTGTGTTTTTGGCAGGATCATTAGAAAACTCAATAAATCCGCTTGACCCCCCTTCCTAAAAATAAATGTAATTACTTCGATCTATATTTAGTTATACATATAAAGTCAAATAACTATATATGATCTTTTTTAGATAACATTTTATTGTCTAATTCCTCATTTTATATTTATAAAATGAAGTAAAAATAACATTAATGACTGTGAACTACTAAGTTAATTGATTATAGAACAGATATTCTATCAATAAAAGTTTGTACACCTTTTAATATATAAAAAAAACCTGTAAACAAAAAAAAATCACCTCAGTCACAATTTAAGTCGGTTGGATTCTAAATATTTTATGTCTAATAATTAAGATTAACTTCACTTAAAAAAATGTAACATAAAAATATAAAAATCAAACATAAAAAAAAGATAATTTAAAGCAGCAGAAGGAATTCATTCACATAGCTTGTCATTTTCGTTGAAAATCTCAGGATTTCTCCTTCCAGTTCTCCTGTGTGCGATGCAAGCTTCTTAACGGTATGGAAGATTGGGGGATTTTATGCAAATGAGTTAAGAAATGCTTTATTCTTCAGGGAAAGCTCGATTTGGTCTTAAGGAAATTGCAATTTTCCAGATCTCCAGTTCCCGTCTAAGCTGCTTTGCTTGTCTCTCCTTTTCTGTCCATGAGGCAATTTCAATCCATCAGCACAGCAGACATCAGCCAAGTGCAGAATGCATGCAATGTGAAGTATCTGATAATATCCTGAAACTGCATGAAGTCTAAACAGAACAGTTTATGTAATAAGTTTTAGCTAATACCAAAAATCATGCTACTCTTTGTTTTTGTATTTCATGCAGTCCAACTATATACAGGCAAGTGAAAAAAATACTAGACCCCTTTAGATATGTTTCTTAAAAATAATTATTCACACATTAAAGTCTAATCTATGATTAGCATTTAGAAACTAAAGTTAGTTCATTAAAGCTGAAGCAACAAATATGGATGTTGTTTAATTAACTTAAATGATTTTTAACAAAGTTTTGCATGTTAAGGAAAAGGTTGAGACATTTTTTTTGCAAAATGATTTTTCTGAGCTGATTTTCCTAATGTAGGGATGTTATTTGGTGTTTTAATTTTATTTTTTTTTAGAAATAACTGAATCATTTTGACCTAATTTGTCTGCCTTGTGGTGGTTTACTGTTAATGGATCGGTATGCAGGTGTCACACTTACAGCTTACTCATGCATGTTGACATATGTAGGATAAATGCTTTGAAGGGCTGTTGTGTGGCAGGAAAGGGAAGGGGAGGTCTGTCGTTCTAACCGGTCTGGAATGGGATAAGAAAGGCCAGTAAAATGTCAACCTTTGTCTCAGTTTTGATGCTCAAATAACTCTCATAATATATGTGACTCTATAGGAATGTGAACTCTATGGCTCTTTAAACTTTAATTTTCAGCTTTAGCATTTTAGATTTAGGAAAATCTGTGTTAATCATGTTTTTCACTAACAAACCTTTGCTTCCGTGTTTCTGTCCAGACCTCCCATCTGGCGCTCATTGATACCTTAATGATGGCCTACACCGTGGAGATGGTGAGCGTGGAGAGGGTGATGTCCTGCATCAACAAGTACTCGTCTGCCGAACGGTTTCACGGCGATGGACTGGTCCAGGGGCTGCCGTACGATACGGAGGATGCAATCACAACCTGGATCAACAAGGTATGAGCAGGAGCCTGTTTGTGTGTGCAAATATAAACCTTTAGGGTAGGGGCTTCCTAAGACTGCATGCATTCCATGCATTGCATTGCCTTTTATTTGATGCACTGATGTTTGTTTCTGTCTGCGTTCAGCTGATATGACAGCAGTGTCTTGATTTCCAGTCAGGGAGCTGGAATGTGGAGTGTTTCATAAGAGAGTCCAAGATTAGGAACTACTCTGGTTTGCTAAAAATGCAATGAAAAAGCAAATAAAGAACTGGAATAGTTGAGTCTTTGGGATCTCTGTTATTAATCTTTAACAGATTATTTAGCTGCTTTCTATTGCTAATGGTGACACCAAAAATACTATGACATCTGAAATCTAAATTTGATTACCTAAATAGTTTTATATTACCAGTGACTCCATCATGGTGCCAGTCTCCAGACTGTTAACCTACCTGTGAAAACAGACTTTACCCAGTAGTAATTTCTGCTTACGACCTACATAAAGTATATTTCTGGTGTTGTAAAAGATTTTATCCAGCTATGCTTGAGTGGATCAGTTCCACTGATCCTTATAAGTTTTTTTCTAGATGGTGAACTTTTAAATCTGGCTTGGCTTGTCTTGGTACAGTTCATTGCCTTTCTCTTTATGGTCCATTTTCAAAGCACTCTGTGTCTCCAGATCCTGAAGCACAGCATCCAAATCAGTGCAGTACACAAAAGCTGTTGCCCCAAGGCAATGATGGCTGCAGCCCACAATGCATTGCAAGATCACATGCCGTTTTAGTCCCATATAAGTTCTTAAATCTTTGGTTATTTCTCCAGTTTCTTTTTAAACCCAGCAGACTATGGTGCAACACCTAATTGTGGAAAATAATTTTAAACTGACATGGTCAGGGCCTGCTGAGATTTAAAGCTGTTCTGTTTTGCTTTTCATCACTATTTAGTAATGCAAAGTTTGGGCTGCATTGAATAAACGTGTTGTGATCCTTGATATCAGGGTGTGTGTTATTTTTAAGCAGCACATGCATTAAATGTTAAAGTCATGAGGATTTTTTTCTGTGTGTAAACCTTGGAGACCATTGTTAGGAATGTATTTTTTTCTGTGTGTATGCCTTCATGCTGGCATAAAAGGCTAATCCTTGTGATTTAAAAGATATTATTAATAAACATCAGTTTATATATCTTTGCATTTGATTGTTGTATTTGCTATAAAGTCATTATCAGTTTTTCTATTAGCTGGTTGTAACAGAATCCTGATTCAGCCTGATTCTGCCACAGTGGTTGTCTGAAAGAGTGTCTTCCTCTCTCTGAATGTCTCTTACTGTTTGTTTCTTTCTCTTGTTCAAGGTGAATGAACATCTGAGGGACGTCCTCATTGAGGAGCAGAAGTTTAGAGAAGCTTCCCTTCAAGAGACAAACGCCACAACGCATAAGGTGAGAGATTTACTCCAAATTAAAATATCAAAGACGCTATGTATCTTCAGAAACAAGCTTGATCACCTTCTAGTAGTGAGTTAATATTTGTAGATTTTAGTTTCTCATTCTGAGCCACATCTGTGTCTCTCTCCCCTCGACACATTCAGTGCGAGTAAAGAGCTCTGTAAATCAGACGAACAGATGAGCTCAGTCACCAGCTGCAGAAAATCTTTGGCAAGAGTTGCTCCATTGCTGTTGGAGGAGACAAAGCATTGCACAGGGCAGTGGAGGAGACACAGGGTGACAGTCAGACGAGAAGTGAGGAGGGGTTATCTGAGTAGAGGGGGGGAAGGAGAGTAGGAGGCATGGCAGCTGTAGCCAAAGGGCCTCAGTGACAGCCAGGCGCATTGCTGCAAGCTCTGGGGTTATGTAATGTCACTGTGACACAACAAGTTGATCTGCTGGCACATACATGCTGCAGTCAGCTGCCATCCTCCTCTGCTCACTCATCATGAAGCTACAGCACAGAGCTCGGTCAGACCATAGGCCATGACAGGGAAACAATACGGTGAAGGTTGAAAATGGAAAGCAAAGGCTTAAATAAAAGGGAATCACAGCACTTTGGTGGATAAAGATTTGTACTTTCTTTCAATTAAAGATTCAACAAGGTGAATGGATTGTAAGAAGTGTGGAAATCAGTTTGCTTCAGCATTCTACCAGCATCTCTGTCAGAGTATAAATATTCAGGCAGTTTATTAGTTCTGATAGTTTTCTATGGAGAGGATGTAATTATTATTTGTTTGGGTTTTTTCCCCGTGTTTCTCATCTTCTTTACAGTGTTGGGTCAAAGCGCCGTTAAATGCAGTGTTGTTACTAGTTTAACTACATTCCTTAGTAGTGTGGGTTTAATGTCGCTGTTTACTAAATCAAGTCGGTTTTCAGTGGTGGAGCTACTTGCATGGCCAAGTAGCGGGATGGCGTCCATAGAAGCTTCAAGCTACACTTTCCAAGGCATTTCCAGACCTTAAACGCATCTCTGCTACTCCGCTCACAGACGTCCAACGCAGATGTCACTGGAGAAGAGCAGACTTTTACCTTTACGTACCTGTCATCCTGGTTTCCACAATAGACCGTGCATAAAAAGATGCCCGCACAAATGATCTGATGGAGCCGGTGTAGTTGGATCAGCTGGAGACAGTGGAGGGGGAAGAGGGGAAGCCTATTTCAGTCCAAGCGTCCAAACACATGCAGAATTGGCATGTTATGATGTTAACGCAGTCAGAAACTAGTCATCACAACTCAAAATAACTGATCATTTTAACTGTTTACATGTAAAACGCTGAGTCTCTGTCATTGAGGAGCCCCTCTGACTGCCTCTTATAAGGAGCTGAGTCATGCCTTCCTCTAAAGGGAGGCAAACCCCCTTCCGCCCAGAGTAACATGATAGTCTAGCTACAGTAGAGGAATAAACCTTAAACTGTACATGTGTTTGTGATTTGTTTCATCCTGGCTAACTTTGTCAAAGATGTAAAAGAAGAAAATAGTCCTGGAAAAAAAAAAAAAGACTCTTGACATCAGTCAGCTGCTTTCATGCTGCACGCTCCATCACACAGCTCGTTCTGTGAGGCTTAACAGAAGTCTATTCACTCATTGTAACGCAGCGGGAGGAGATCATTTCACAAGCACACACATCAATGCATCAGCGACATCCCCACTCCAGCAGATCGGCACAAGATGCTCCTCGGTTAGTCTCGTCTATTCTGGGAAAGTGTGAAACCTGTTTAACTACGGTCATATGATGAAGCACTGCCTCAGTTCTGTGAGGATATGGAGGAGGTCTGTGTTCGCTCTGCTGTAAGTGTCCACATCAACAAAGGCTAAATTTGTTGTGCACAATAGCTAATTAGATTGCTGTTATAAAGAATGGGCATTTTAAATCAATAAAGCAAATTTTTTAACTGTTTCTGAAAGTTTGTTGGTTAGCATTAGTTAGTGTTACTAAATATAATCTATTTTACCCTGAAAATGTAGATCAGTACCTCAGCTCTGTAGTTTAGACAACGACAGTGCAGCCTTTCTCAGTAAGTGTCCCAAAGAACAACTTTAGCACCAAAGGCTGTTGTTGTCTTTGCATCCTGGGGGTGAAAGAGTCTCTGAACCCTTCAGCTGTAGCCGACCAGGCTGAAAACCCACCGCTTCCAATTTTAGGCCGACTTTTAAATGCATCTTTATATTAAAAATAAAGCTGTTCAAAGAATATATCATTGCCTGGAGGATTAATGACATTTTAAACAAAAAAATTACAGAATATTTGAATCCTTAATGATCTGTTTTAATAAAACACTCTACTAACTTAAACCAGATTACAATCATTAGGCGTCATGTCATTTTTTGTCAAAACATTAATGATATAGAAAACAAGCTTAAATTTTTATTATGCACAACAAGAGTAAAGTGAGCTAAAGCATTTTCTAAGAAATTAAAAACGTTTATTTTTGTCAGGCTAATATATAAAACAATACTAACAACTTTAAAACATCTGATAGAGTGTTATTCAATCTAAAACAGAAGAAATAGGAGAAACCTGCAAAGTACCAACCCATCTAAGAGCATCCATCTAAACTAACAGGCAGAGAAAGGAGAGCATTGATCAAAGAGGCCTCCCTAAACTTTCAAGAAAACACTGTTTCCATGATGAGACATGGTTGTGGCAGCATCATGCTGTGGGAATTCTTTTCTTCGACAGAGTTCCAGAAAGCTTGTAAGATAGAAAGAGGAATAGAGCTGGGTTCCTGCACACTTAACACAATTTTGACGATTCTGGGTTTGTAAAGAGATGATGCTGGTGACTCTCTTTCTGCCGCTGCTGTTTTATTGTTTTTTTTTCCCTCTGTTGTTGGCCTAATATATATCCCATTTTCTCCTCTTATCCAATCATGATCCACCATCAAGTCTTCTAGCAAATGGTACTGGAGATTAGTACCTGTAAGTTCATCCATTCTGGAACAGATCTCCCAAACCCGAGCATCAGTCCTGAACCTCCTTAACCCCAACCTACACAGTTCTCCCTCCTGTTGTTTATCCCTGCATGCAGCCCTGAGCTCCATCATTGTTTGCTCAAATATTTTACAACCTCTCTCCTGCCCTCGCAACCTGTTTCACATTAAGTTGAATACGATACAAAAATTGTTATTAAAACTTAAAGGGAGAGCTTCCTTAGATAAAATTTAAAACAGCAAATAAAACATTTTTTGCAACCTGTGTTTAAAACCTGAAACAGTTCAGACTGTGTCATATAAAAAAGGATGTGCAGTACTAAGAGAGATATGATCCCAATGGAACAAGGTGCAGCACAACAGTTTGTTTCCAGCAGCTCAGTGCAGAGTCATACTGTAGCTGGCTGTTAGGCAGAGAGTATTGCTGATTGAAACTTCTGATTTGCTACAAAATGCAGCCTTAAGAGAGGATCCCTCTATTGGCTTCCTTGGGGTGCTGGTTCCTGCGAAAGCACAAGCAGTGGTTGTTTTCCCTGTGGTTTTTACACGTGCAAAGTAACATATAACAGATCCTGAAGGCACACAGAATAAGCTTGCACAGAGATTAAACTAAATCACATGTACTGTCTGCTACTGAATCAGTGCACAAATCTTAGACAGCCTTAGTGTCGAGAATGGTTGAGAGGAGCTAAAATGGTTTCAAAAACTATTTTCAGACAGGGGAACAAAAAATAATTATAGGGGGAAAAAAATCACTCTAGTTTTGCTTAGAGGTCTGCTCTAGAAGCAAAAGGAAATCCTAAAGTGTATGTTTTATTTGCATGTTCAATGTAATCTGTATTACTTCAGCTGAATGCTTTAAAATACCCAGATTAACACCTTGATTTGTGTGTTTAATCAATTTGTGCATGCAGTAGTAGGCGTGTCTGCGGTTGTTTGTACCAAAATACAAAGAGAACATGTACATATCTGCCGTGATTCTCCATGAAGTTGATATTTCTTTGCCGTTGCCATGGTTTCAGGCCCGGTACAGAAGGGAGCATGCCCAGAAGAATGTTCCGTCTCTCCCCCTGGTGGAGAACTTGTTAAAGGATAACACAGACGGCTGTGCCCTCGCCGCCCTGCTGCACTTCTACTGCCCACAGGCCGTCCGTCTGGAAGGTGGGTGTCCTGACCCGCATGCACTGAACAAAGCAAAGGATGTCAGGACAGAAAAGAGTGGGTGGTACTGTGACTATTACCCTATTGAACTTACAGGTTTTTTAAAAGGTAGGATATTAAAATTTATATTTTTAGAGCTTTTACCAGATTTTATATAACATAGCAAGTTGAGCTCAAGTGATATAAAAAATAAATATTGGAATAAAATATATTGAAAATAAATAGCTATTGCACAGTGTGTAACCTTTAACTACACTGCCTGGCCAAAAAAAAAGTTGCCAGCTGGATTCAACTAAGCAAATAGGTACAAGCCTCCTATTGGATAATTACTGCATGGGCGATTATATTTCAGCTGGCAACAAGTTATTTAACCCCAACTGGTGCAATGACTTGTTTCTCATTTCCTAAACAACCATGTAGAAAGACACAACCCGTGGTCGTGGAAAAGATGTTAGTCTGTTTGAGAAGGGTCAAATCATTGGCATGCATCAAGTAGAGAAAACATCTAAAGAGATTGCAGAAACTACTAAAATTGGGTTCAGAACCGTCCAACGCATTATTAAAAACTGGAAGGATAGTGGGGAGCCATCATCTTCAAGGAAGAAACGTGGCCAGAAAAAAATCCTGAATGATCGTGATAGGTGAACACTTAAATGTGTGGTGAGATCAAATCGAAGAAAAACAACAGTAGAACTCAGGGCTATGTTTAATACTGAAAGTAAGAGCATTTCCACACGCACAATTCGAAGGGAACTCAAGGGATTGGGACTGAACAGCTGTGTAGCCGTAAGAAAACCTCTAAACAGTGAGGCTAGCTGGGAAAAAAGGCTTCAATTTGCTAGGGAGCATAAAGATTGGACTGTGGAGCAATGGAAGAAGGTCATGTGGTCTGATGAGTCCAGATTTACCCTGTTCCAGAGTGATGGGCCAATCAGGGTAAGAAGAGAGGCAGGTGAAGTGATGCACCCACCATGCCTGGTGCCTACTGTACAAGCCTGTGGGGGCGCTGTTATGATCTGGGGTTGCTGCAGTTGGTCAGGTCTAGTTTCAGCAACAGTATGTGCTCAAAGAATTAGGTCAACTGACTACAGTACCTGAATATACCGAATGACCAGGTTATTCCTTCAATTGACTTTTTCTTCCCTGATGGCACAGGCTGATTCCAAGATGACAATGCCAGGATTCATCGGGCTCAAATTGTGAAAGACTGGTTCAGGGAGCATGACACATTATTTTCACACAGAGTCCAGACCTCAACCCCATTGAGAATCTTTGGGATGTGCTAGAGAGGGCTTTGCTCAGCGGTCAGACTCTCTATGCAAGATCTTGGTGAAAAATTAATACAACACTGGATGGAAATAAATCTTTTGACATAGCAGAAGCTTATCGAAACAATGCCACAGCGAAAGTGTGCCGTAGTCAAAGCTAAAGGCGGTCCAACAAAGTATTAGAGTGAATGACCTTTTTTTTTGGCCAGGCAGTGTATTTGGCCTTTTATGTTGCACTCGGGTGGTCCCCACCCCTGTTTGTTCTTCAGTTTGGTTCCCCATAGGGACACCTGTGGCTCCCAGGGGATGTTGTTCTAGCTGTGGGCCAGGTGGACTGAGCCGACATATGGTGGGAATCCCGAGCTCACTAGGAGGGATGGGGCCCTGCATCCTTTGGACCATCTCAGTTCCGTCAGTGGATGTATGGGATGGTGCATTTTCTGCTAGGTCACAAATTTGCACACATAAACACACCAAAAACATACACTTAATTTTACTTTTAAATGCTCTCCTAATCATATCCACACATCCACCCACCTACAGGTCCATACACAACTACTCCAAATAAACAGAAGTCACACAAACAATTGTCATCACAGCAATGTTGTCAATCGCATTTCGGATTTTGTCTTAAAATGTTCTTTTTCTAGAGCAAGTCTGCTGTGATACAGGTAGGGAACCTGTTTAGATAGAGTATGCCTGAAATTTTAGGACAGGATATAAGGAAAAAAATACTTTGAGGACCTTTTGTTCACATTCCAAAACTCAAAACTGTTGCCAGTTATAGTAAATCTGATAAGCTGTAAAGAAAAAAAAAAGCTTGACATGATGTTTATATGATATATGACATTATGTTAAAATAAATGTATGACTGGGATTGTTCCTTTTCCAGTTTTATTTTTTTTTTTACACCAGTTGTTTAATGGGAGCAGCAAAATATATTTATATATTTTTTATATTAATTAATGCAGTTATTCTCTGTTAAGTAATAAAACATCATTGCTTATTTTAATTGGTATCCTGCAAAAGCGTGTTCATTGTTGCTCGTTCTTTATGAGGTTTTGACTGCAGCAATCTAAACTTCAATCAGTGCAATCTAGGGTCAAAAAAGACAGGAAAATTAATACATGTTTATATATATATTCTCATGACATTGTATTTTTTGGTTATAAATGATACAATAGTTCTTTAAACAAAGCAGTTTAAGGGCCCACACACTTATGCAACCTGATTATTGCACCCTATTTTTTTATCTATTAATCCTTTTTTTTCTTTAACTTGTTTTTCTACATATGACATTGTACATACATGTACAAAATATATTTTGAAATGATTTTTGCGTCACTAAATTGCAATTTTAACATGGGCTTTTACTCCTTAGAGAGCCTCTATATGTAGAGGACACAATGGACACTTTCTTCCTGTTCCTATGACAACCACAATACATTTCATTTGACTATTTGAAACAAAGAGAGTATTTATCATCTGTCGTTGTACTTTTCCGAGGTTTTCTCCATTCTGCTAGATGTCAACAAACGTTTTTGACCTGCTTGTTGTTTATTTTCTGCTGTTATTGTATATTAATAGAAGAGCACAGTGGGGATAATGACTATAGAATGACTCAGCGCTATAGATGTGACCTAGGACGGACTTTAAAAAGGGAGAGGGTGAGGAAACAAAGAGGCGTTTCCTCTGAGCCTGTCTCTTTTCTAAAAGTGCCCCGGGCTGAGACATGATTGGTCATGAGTTGTACGTTACAGAGAGCCGTTGGAGGGCTTCTTATCAGGAGGCAGTTTCAAAGATAAACGGCTCCTGTGTTGATTCCCTGAAAACTGCCTGGGTAGGATTAGCTTGGCAGGAAACGTGTGAAACAGATGTGAGAGCAAACTCAGCTTTATTAAGGTTTCTTGCCTTCAGCTAGATGGTGTATAAAATAAGTACAGGGGAGTTCAAAATAATGTCACACCGGAGGATTGATATTTAAGGGATGAGACATTTTAGATCTGGATGTCGGTTTTCCTCTGTTCTGTTCATTTTATGTTTTACCATAAACTGAAACTTATCTTTTTGTCTTCCTGTTCCCATTTGCTCCCCCTCCCTTTGTTTATGTGTCTGACCCCTCCCCTGGTTGAGCAGACATTTGCCTTAAGGAGACCATGTCTCTGGCGGACAGTCTGTACAACCTCCAGCTGGTGCAGGAGTTCTGCAGGAACAACCTCAATCACTGCTGCCACTTTACCCTGGAGGACATGCTCTACACCCATGCATCCATAAAGGTATGACAACCAGAATCCTGATGTTCAAATAAATCTGCCTGGAAGAGGCTGGAAAGCTCTCTTTTTATGACGCAGGAGTTAGTTGAGGAAAGGAGATGTGTGTTTGTTGGGAGAGTAGAAGGAAATTTGAGGTGGGTAATTACACAAAGGCATAAGTGAGTCATGTAAGGAAAAGTTTAGTCCTGAATGTGCATGTCTGGCTGGTTGACCTCATCCTACTCACTGTGTAGACAGAGGACAGATTCAGAGCTCTGACCCAACTCTCTTGGTAATGCTTTTCTTCCTGCAAAAAAAAAAAAAATATTTGAAGTTCATAGATCTTGAGATCTCACTTCTACACATTTTTTCAGATTTTCTGAAAACTCCTAAGAGCCTCTCTGTGCCATGCTGCCAGGCAGCATGAGTACAAACATTCAAGATTCAAGTCACAGTTTGAGCAGACTGGAACTTTCTTTGATGCAACACAGCAGCTGCTTTTCGTCCTCACACACGCAATGCTCTGCATTTCTTCTTCTGTACTCATTTCACATTCACTACACTGTCTGTGCATTGACTGGATCCTGCTTGTATGGTACAACTGGGAGTCATGTGGGGCTTTTAAAGACTCTGGCATTCTGCCTGTTCACCACAAACTCACTGTCCATAGAATCTTAACTAGTGCTTTTGTATGGCTTTACCCACTGAAATAGAAGATAGTATTTATGTTCACAGTGCCATAATGAAACTTAACCCAGACAGAATAACATTAGAGAGCTGCTTAATGAACTGATGCATCTGTTTGATTTGATGTTAGCTACCTAGTCACTGCTTATATGTTTGCATGGGAATACATTGAGATAGCACCTAAAAGAATTTGTCTTATGACATCCAATCCTAGTAAAATGCAATGCTATTTAAGGCTGTAACATGAAAATGTTTGATTGTTTTTGTAGATTTTATGAAAGATGTGGGGTTTACATTACAGAGCTCACACAGTGCATTAGGCAAAGATACTTCAGCAAAATTTTCAAAATGCTTGGAGATGGTTTCATTTTTATAGACTTTATGCAGAAGAGAGGACGAGCAACTGATAAGATATGTCTGATCTTTCAGAGTAACTATCTGGTGTTCATGGCTGAGCTTTTCTGGTGGTTCGAGGTTGTGAAACCTTCATTTGTTCAGCCCAGAGTCTTCGACCCAAACGGTAATGTCCATGCATGCATTTTGAAAACAGTAGAAGTATCTTCTTTTTTTTTGTCCTCAATGCTATTTGTTTTATAATGTGAGGGATTTGTCCTGTTTTGCCATGCAGCCTGTGAGCCTGTATCATTCTGCAGAGATATGGCTCCTGTGTCCAGTCCTGTCAAACAGAACTATGCAGACAGACCTTCAAGTCCAGAGAACCACATCACTGAAGGTAGGAATGATTATGATCTGCCATATGTGTTAAGTCTTATTTCTCTTCTTCTCTGTTAATTCTTAAACTAAAGAAAGGTGAAAGGATGCTTACAGAGACACCACAATGCTTATTTGTCTGAAAAGTAGCAGGAAACTCCAAACATCAGCTTATATTATTGGAAAAGTTGCTTTGCAAATACATCAGTGGTGTTAGAAATCTAAGCCAAACTGGCCAGTTTGATATAAATGTATGTTTTGCTAAAGTTAGAAATCAGCAGTTTCTTTTTAAATGACTAGGTTGTGGGATACACTATTGATTTAATACATCAAACTAATGATATGAGGAAAAGGAAGGAATAAATGTGAAACTAAAAGTGAGAATCAATTAATATAATGATAAAGTTTCTTTCTGATAATTTTAGTGTTGCTGAGGTTTGCACCTTATCAAACTCTGAACAGGAGCAGGAATAATATGGGACCTGATGTGCAAAAGTGCAAAGAATTTTGTTGTTTTTTATATTATTGTGAGAACAACACAACAACTGCTGTTGAATGTAATGCCAAATTAAAGAATTGTTTCCCCTTGTAGAGCAACCAAACATTAGCGTCTGAGTATAGAAGTTCACCTACCGGTAATCAATGCTCAATTTCTAGATGCCCTCTAGTGGTTGTTTACAGCTTCCTGCATGAAAAAAAATAGTTATCAAGCTCTAAAAGTTACAGCCTGAAACATAAGTACACTTAAAGCCCAACAGCAATTTTCCCTGTTCCGAATATTCCCTGTTCTGTTTCTCAAAAATGCTTTTCATTGCCCATTATGTAATCTTGTAATTTCTCAGAAATAGTAAAACTGAGGAAGTCCTTTTGTGTCTAACAGGCCTAATAAAGAGATCTACCTCCATGTCCTACGTTGATGGTTGTGGTGGGACGTGGCCCAAAGAAAAACAGTGAGTATGCTACGAAGGTGTTATCATAATCGCATCATCAGGAATCCACATTTTGTAACTTTCTCCTTCCTCTTGTACTGAAACCTTATCTCTTAATTCTTCAGCTCCTCCTCTCGGGGAATCTCCTTTGAGATCCCCCTGGATGGAGAACCAACATTGCCACCAAATGAGGCTTCTTCTCCCCACTCTATGACCCGCTCAGCAAGTAGTGACGGCCTGGGGTTCAAAGTTCATTATGCATCTCGAGGAGGCATGAAACGCCACCTCTCCCTGACACCGGCAGACGTTAACGGACAGGGCAGACAGATCCCAGAGGAGGAGGACGACTTGGCTTCTCACAAACCCTTGGGACGAAAAAACACTTTCTCTATCAAGAACCAAAGCAGGTGCAGATGAGGAACGGGTTTCTAGATCTGACATTTATAGGCTGTATTTGCATTACCTCCCAATGTTCTCAATATCCTGTGCTTTCTACAGAAACCATGAATGGTAACAACAGTGACCGTATGATTAGAGGTAGACTTATTAAAGTTCTATGATAGATTTCCAATCCTCTACAGATTAGACCCTTCAAAGGTCTACAGCTGCAATTAACATTTAAACATGTTTTCTGAAAACTTCCCACTCTAAGCAACCGTTAATTATTTATAAAGATTTGGATGGTGGACATGTTTCAGAAGAGAGTGTAGTTTCCTTTAAAACAGCTTTTTGCATCTTCTCTGACTTGTAGCTCTTAACCACTTAGCATCGGTGTTCTCACTCTGTAGAAAGATTTGATGTTTTAGTTTTTAATTGGTTAAAAAGTTATTCAAAGCACTATTTTTTTTTTTTTTTTTTTTTTGGGACATTTGAAGAAAAGAATAAACCAAGGTTGAGTCATTCATTTGCTTTTACAATGTCCTTTGCTATTTGGTAAAAAAAAAAAAAGAAAAACTGTTTTGTGAGGTGTCAAGTGTTAAAATAACCTGCATGTGAATCTCAGGATGCAGGTTTTCCCAGTAGAGTTGCGCGTGAAGAAGATGAAAAGTTTGCCTGTAATTTTCAGGACAAAATAAGTTAAACTAAATACAGGCCTCAATCGCAGATTATGAGGAGCCTTAAACATGGATTTATCATGAGATTTAAAGCTATTGATTTAACAAAATCTCTTGTGGCACAATGATAAACATTTGAGCCTTCTTCAGACACAAATAGGGATCCTTTTTGTGATTTAAAGGCATCAGAAAACACTAACGCTAATAATTCTGTTTTTCCAGATTAATTCTTCCTGTGTTTAATTTTCTATTTTTCCTGGATCTTTCTTTAGGTACCCCAATGGAGTCCTACCAGACAACAGCAGCCCCAGTAGCTGCCAAGGGAATCACTCCGACCACATCAGCCCATCAACTCCTCCAAGCATTGAAGAGGCCCTCAAGATCATCCACGATACAGAAAGGCCCCACGCCAGCCTGGGTGTTGGAGATGGAGACAATGGCTTCTTTCTGCATGGGGCCGAGCCTTCGTACCCTCCGGGGGCTCATGCTCCTGGGGAGGACCTGGATTCAGCGAAGGCTCGGGCAAATGACCGAGACCCCAACTCTGCATCGACGGATGAAGTTGACACGGGCATCCATGTGCGAACAGAAGACATCCAGAGTTTGGATGAGGACTCCTCGTCTCTGAGAGACTATTCAGATATTGACCCGGACTGTGAGGCTATGGCGAGGTCGTGTCCACTGCCTGGCAAGCATGAGAGGAACACGGAAGGAGGACACAAGAAAGGAAGGGAAGCCATCTCTGAAGGGGAAGGGGGACATGGAGGTGACAGGGGCAGCCCATGTCCCAGTTCTGCACCCATGCTCACCAGGTCTTATACTTGCAGTCCTGCCTCCTCATCCGGTGGTTCTGGTGGGGGTCTGGTGCGAATGACCAGCTTTGCAGAGCTGAAGTTCAGGAAGTTAGAAGGCAGGAGCAGCGGAGGAACCACCACTCCAGACAGCTCTGATCTCAATGTGCCCTACATTCGCTCAGCCGGAACTACGGCCTCTCAGGTTTGTCTCTCATCACAAATATTTTTCAGAACTTTCAGTGCGGAAAACAATGGTTTTCCCAATGGCATATATCTTCGGATCTAGTTTTTTGTCAGATTTAAATATTTCAATCCATCAAACCTTTTATCACAATAAAATAACGTGACTAACATAGAAAGGTAATTTAATATCAATGATGTGTTCTTTTTCATTTCCGTAGATCGGGTAGTGATTAGTTTCTTTTGGGGATATATCAGCCTACTTTATGTTGTCGGAGGAGTTTTATTTAAGTTTCATTAAATAAAAATGTCTGGTAACAACTTTGCTCTGGTATTGTTTGCAAAAGTCATCTAAATATTATAAAATCAGTTATTTCTATTATTGTTTTTTTGATTAATTAAACAATTGGAAAACAGTTTATTTATTTTTTTATGTGGTTGTTTTGGTCTGATGAGTGTTATGAGTTGTATGATTTAAATGTTGAATAAATCTCTAGGAGGCAAATAAAAAAAAGCTTCTATGGGGTAGACATTCAGATTTTCTCATGTTTTTCCTTAGTTCTCTACACCTCCCCTGCCAATCACTTCACCTTCGCCAGCTACGCCTTCACCCAGAGACCCCTCCCACTTCATAGCCTCAGAGATGATTCAGCTTAGAATGAAGCTGGAGGAGAAAAGGAGAGCTATTGAAGCCCAAAAGAAGAAGGTCAGCAGCCTTGCTTCATAAGAGATATCTTTTCAAATCTATCTCAATCTTTTCAAATCTAATGGCCGTTTTGTTACAATTCTTTCCAGGTAGAAGCAGCTTTTACCCGGCACCGGCAGAAAATGGGCAGAACAGCCTTTCTGAATGTTGTGAAAAGGAAAGGAGTGACAGCCCCGCTCAGCCCGAACTCAGGAGGGGCAGAAAAACCCTTACCTGAGCCAATCAATTTAAAGGAGGGTAACGTGGAGCAGGTGGAACGGTGCAAGCCTGACGGAGCAGCTCCGAAATCTCCCTGTGAAGACGGCGGCGGTGTGTAACCTTAGCATGCCTCTAATGCTTGCTCAGCTGATTTGGTTTTGTAAATGGTGATGGATGCTGGTTTCTGTATCTTACTTGTTTGTGTTTGTGCTGATAAGGCTTGACCCCTGGAGAGGTTGACCTTGCAGAATACACACGGTCCATCGAAAGGCTGAACACGTCGCTGGGCTTCCTGCAGACAGAGATGCAGCGTTTGGCCCAGCAGCAGGAGAAGATCATGGCCATGAGAGACCAGCAGCAACAGGCCTGGGTGATCCCGCCTCCTGCCCCCTCTCCACACAGGTATTCCTCACTTCAAATACACTAAAGGGTTGACTGAAATTCAAACCTTCGGTTATTTTCATCTGTCTTTGTCTTTCACACAGGCAGCTCCGCGAGCTGCGCAGCAGCAGTGTGACAGGCAGAGGATCGGGCCGAGGGTCGGTAGGATCCTTGTCACCGATTCTGTCCTCTTCTGGGTCTCCACGTCCAACCAACCGTTCACCTGCAGGCATCAAACGACGGCCTGCCTCATTTCATGCCAGAACGCCTCGGACTCCCCGTCCAAACGATCTGAAGGTCAGCCCCATCAGCAGAATGCTCAACACTCCCACCTCGGTGGACAGTCTGCCCAGACTGAGACGCTTTAACTCCAGCCAAACCCAGCAGAGCTCTTTCGCCTACCTTGGCCGGGATGAAGAGGCCAGGGAAAAACACGACCCAGACACCAAAGACAATAAAGAAGACCCTAAACAAACAGAGGAGACCGTAGAGAAGAGGAAGGATGAAGAAGCCAAAGAAAAGATCAACAAACAAATAAAAGAAAGGACAGAGTTTAAGGAAGACTCAAAGATATCTGAGGTTTTGCGGCAGCCGGTTTCAGAGATCAAAGTTGAAGATGTTAGCCAGACTCAAGATTATCACCAAGAAAGGAAGGACCTGGTGGAGGTGCCGCTGTCTCGGCTAAAGCCAGCCGGCATCCAGGGTCAGGAGAGCACAGAGGATGGAGAACAAGGAGGAGAAATATTTGGAGATGACCAAAAGATGTGCTGTGGGTTCTTCTTTAAGGTGAGCTGGTCCTGAGGGTTCTAAATCACTGGTTCTCAAACCCCCTCCTCAATACTGCTGCCCTGTATGTTATAGATGGCTCTCTGTTGCAGCACACTCAATTAAAGTGATTGCATAACCTCATTACAGGTGCTGGTCATAAAATTAGAATATCATGAAAAAGTAGATTGATTTCAGTAATTCCATTTAAAAAGTGAAACTTGTATATTATATTCATACATTACATACAAACTCATATATTTCAGATGTTTATTTTGTTTAATTTTGATGATTACAAATGACAACAAATGAAAATCTCAAATTCATCATATCAGAAAATTAGAATATTACTGAACACCAATAAAAACAAAGGATTTATAGAAATGTTGGCCAACTGAAAAGTATGAACATGAAAAGTATGAGCATGTACAGCACTCAGTATTTAGTTGGGCCTCCTTTGGCCTGTATTACTGCAGCAATGCGGCGTGGCATGGAGTCGATCAGTCTGTGGCACTGCTCAGGTGTTATGATAGCCCAGGTTGCTCTAATAGTGGCTTTTAGCTCTTCTGAATTGTTGGGTCTGGTGTATTGCATCTTCTTCTTCACAATACCCCATAGATTTTCTATGGGGTTAAGGTCAGGAGAGTTTGCTGGCCAATTAAGAACAGGGATACCATGGTCCTTCAACCAGGTACTGGTAGCTTTGGCACTGTGTGCAGGTGCCAAGTCCTGTTGGAAAATGAAATCTGCATCTCCAAAAAGTTGGTCAGCTGCAGGAAGCATGAAGTGCTCTAAAACTTCCTGGTATGTGGCTGCGTTGACCCTGGACCTCAGAAAACACAATGGACCAACACCAGCAGATGACATGGCACCCCAAACCATCACTGACTGTGGAAACTTTACACTGGACTTCAAGCAACGTGGATGAAGTGCCTCTCTTCTTTTCCTCCAGACTCTGGGACCTTGATTTCCAAAGGAAATGCAAAATTTACTTTCATCAGAGAACATGACTTTGGACCACTCACCAGCAGTCCAGTCCTGTTTCTCTTTAGCCCAGGCAAGACGCTTCTGACGCTGTCTGTGGTTCAAGAGTGGCTTGACACAAGGAATGCGACAGCAGAAACCCATGTCTTTCATACGTCTGTGTGTGGTGGTTCTTGAAGCACTCACTCCAGCTGCAGTCCACTCTTTGTGAATCTCCCCCACATTTTTGAATGGGTTTTGTTTCACAATCCTCTCCAGGGTGCGGTTATCTCTCTTGCTTGTACACTTTTTTCGACCACATCTTTTCCTTCCCTTCGCCTCTCTATTAATGTGCTTGGACACTGAGCTCTGTGAACAGCCAGCCTCTTTAGCGATGACCTTTTGTGTCTTGCCCTCCTTGTGCAAGGTGTCGATGGTCGTCTTTTGGACAACTGTCAAGTCAGCAGTCTTCCCCATGATTGTGTAGCCTATAGAACTAGACTGAAAGACCATTTAAAGGCTTTTGCAGGTGGTTTGAGTTAATTAGCTGATTAGAGTGTGGCACCAGGGGCCATCAATTTTGAACCTTTTCACAATATTCTAATTTTCTGATATGATGAATTTGAGATTTTCATTTGTTGTCATTTGTAATCATCAAAATTAAACAAAATAAACATCTGAAATATATGAGTTTGTATGTAATGTATGAATATAATATACAAGTTTCACTTTTTAAATGGAATTACTGAAATCAATCTACTTTTTCATGATATTCTAATTTTATGACCAGCACCTGTATATCCACCAGATGCTGCAAAAGCCTGTTAGTTCCTTCACATGATCATGTGTGGGGCAGTGAGGAGACATCTATAACAGATGGAGCATTAGAGATCAGGATTTAGAACCGCTCCTCTACACTCTCTAGATAGCTATGTGAGAAAGGAGTGAAACACGGCTTAGAAAGTTCCAGCTAATTACCAGTGGCGGCTGGTGAAAAATATTTTTGGTGGGGCTGATATAGCCTAGTATATGTCTCCAACTAATCCGGAATAAGAATTCAAATAAACAATTGGACAATACATACAATTTAACAGTAATGATTTAATTTACTATATAATAACAGTAACAGTGATGATTTTGGTCACTGTGACGGGGTTCTTTGGCCTCCAAGAATCCAGGCTCAGTCGGGTTACCGGTGTTGGTGATTTATTGTGCTCAAAAACTCAAAACAGGGTGCAAAAGAAACTAAACATGTACAAGATACTCTGGGCCTCAGCCTCCCTCCAGTTACCAGCAATGTAACAAAGAAACAGAAAACAAAAATTGCCGCTTTTCTTCCCACAGCCCTCATTAAATAGTTTAAGCCCCTCCCCTCAGGCTCTCTTATTTCTGATTTCTTCTCATAAATCAGTTTTGTCCATATATTACCTCCACAAACAATTGATGTACAAAAACAAATAATTTTTACAACTTAATTATTTTACACAGATTCATTGACTTATTCAATTACACCAAACTGGGTTTGAACCCAGCAAAGACGCAGCCAGACTGAAGATGACAAGTCCCCGTACACACACACAGACACACACACACACGGCTAACCCCACTGAAATATTAAGTGTGCACCCTCAATATGCCAGCAGGTAACCAGGAACAGCTTGTGTGTTTTAAGTTAATGGAGCTACTTGGCTCAGCGCGAGCTTATTGGTCCTCACAAACACAGTATAACAGGAATGTGTGTGTGGCGCGCAAAGTTAGAGGATGTGGATTCGTCACAGTCACAATAACCATGACATGAAATTTTCATATCCTACAACAGGGATGTTCTTCTGGCAAATGGGTAGATAAATAAGGATCTCACCGAATTTGGTGGAAGCTGCATCTCGTTCGTTACATTCGCCATCTTCCCTTTAATTTTCTGCACCTGCGCTTGGGTTCAGAAGCCTGTTAAAGTGCAGTATTTTCAGAGACCCAAGACCATAAAGTTCTGAGACGCTGATTGGCCATTAAATTCACCTAGCAATAGTACATGATTGACAGATTCTCTGCAAATGTGGGTCAGTCTGATCAGCGCCCCCAGAACAGAGACGGTAGGAGTCTGTCTGTGGAAATCCACAAATTAATGACAGTAGATAGGGAAATGTAGTTTATATAATTTGTTTTGCTTATATGTAAACACTCTAGAGAGTAAAACTGACATTTATGAGTAAATTTCTAAAAATATATTTTACGTTTCTCTCTTCTTATCAGGGAGGGCGGTGCCCCAGCGCCCCCTATGGGCCGGCCGCCACTGCTAATTACTGTACTACAAAATTTTGTGTGTTTGTGAACCATATGTCTTTAGCTGTTTTATCTTCTGATTTTAGCTACAAGGTTAAACCCACTGAAATTTAAAGAAACACATACTTCAAATAACTACCACTTTTTTAGAAAGACTGAAATGTAAATTTGGCGTTGCAGCTTTGCAACTTCCACTCCCTGTCTAGTTTTCACATTTATAATACCCCTTTCCAACTGGCCGAAAAACCTGTTAAAACCTGGGTACAATCCGCTTTTAGTGGCAGTGGGAACAGCTCAGTGATGTATGTCTACCCGGGTCAAATGACTCGGCAAGCGACCTGCGTTAAAATCTCCTCAGTTCTGATTAGCATGCTGTTGGAACCCGTTAAATTACGTGACACCATTGAACGCAACGTATGGATGTCAACACACCGCGCGAGTCCTTCCTAATCTAACAAGCTGAAACAACTAATTTCATTTGATAAACATGGCTCAGTGCTGTAAGAGAGATTCGGACAGATAAAAGAGCGAAATAATAAAGAATACTGACTTAAATAAGAACAATGGAACCAGTGGAAAACAAGATAGCCATGATAAACCAAACATATGCATTCTGATGATGATGTAGCTAGGTGGAAGTTAGGGTATAATAACAGATAGTTTAACATTCATCTGTCCATCGTCTCATCTGCCTCTCTACTTCATTTTGTTGGATCCAAAGGCATCCCAGACAAGCAGAGATATCAGTGCTCCATTTTTTATTTTATTCATTTAACCAGGAAGTCCAACGAGATTCAGAATCTCTTTTACAAGACAGATCTGACCAAGGTAGCAGCCAAATCACAACAGATTCATACATACATAGAAAAGCACTGGGAGTGCTCTTCCTGGATCCAGATGGTGATCCAGATCTTACCAAAAATTTTATGTTTCTTTGGATTGAGATTCACCTTTGCCAAAAAATGTAATTAAAATCCATTCATAGCGTTTCAGGTTATCCTGTACACAGACAGATGGACAAACAATAACACAAACACACCTAAAAACATAACCATGGTGGAGGTAATAAACATTTGCATTTTCATGATAAAATAAGTACAAAATGTTAGAAAAAACACACAATGAGATTTTAAAGAAAAACAGTAGCACGTCTCCATCACAATGTTCTTTGCATTAGTTTTAATTGTATTAATGAACTTGAGGTTTCCTAACTTCAGCTCTTTCTGTGGGTCATTCATCCCCCAAGGGGCTGAGCAAGAGGGAGCAGATTTTCCCAATTCGGTGGAAATTAGTGGAATTAGTGGAAGTTTGCCGAGTAAAGCTTTATAGATGAAGATATAAAGTGAAGTCCATCCAACTAGATGATTAGAAAATGCAGTGATGGGTTAGTGACCATGGTGTGCTTCTGTGCTTTGAAATGGTTTACTAAGGATTTTTTATAAACAGGGCTGGTGTCAATCATTTCTATCATATTCTATGACCAAAACAATCTGCAACACAGACCGCTGTTTTCGGAGAGTTCATTGGATTTAGTTCAGATTAACATTACATGGATCCATATTACCTCTAAAAGGATTGCGTTATACCCTTGAATTCCGGACTTTTTAAAGGAAAATTTGCTTTTGAAAATGTAAAAAAAAAATCTTTCAGAGCAGAACATGCAGACACTAAAGCATTGACATGAATCTTAGTGTTGTTGCCAGTGGAAAATATTATTTAGCCTCCCTGACGCGAGCAGAGATGTTCAGCCTTCCTGTTACCTGTGTTAAGTCTTGCTCTCTCTCACAAATTTAATAAGCAGGTGACATTTGAAGAATGTGATCGAAATTGGCAATCTCGTAGTGTTGAGTAGCAATATCCCTAACATTTGGGATTGTTGTTTATACAACCTGATGATGCTTAAAAAGGGATTTTTTTTTTTAGCTAAAGCTAAAGTGTTCTCAATATATTTTTTTGGGTGTTAAATCTTTAGAAACATTAAAAATATACAGAAATGTTTTATTTATGTTGTAAATATTCACCAGGATGATGTGAAAGGAGAAGAGGACATGGCAGCAAAGAAAGCAGCTCTATTGGAGAAGAGGCTTCGGAGGGAGAAGGAGACTCAGCAGAAAAAGCAACAGCAGGAGCTGGAACAGGAGCAGAAGAAAGAAGCTGAACGGTGTGTCTTTGCTGCATCCCGCAGCATCCGCACAAATTCTCGCTCTAGATTGGTCTTCTTTTCAACTTTTGTGTTCAATCCTTCAGTACTTACTTGTTCTTGTGCAGAGTGAAAGCAGAGGAGGAGCAAGTTAAGAAGGATGACGAGAAGGCAAGGAGGGACTACATCAAGAATGAATATCTAAGGAGGAGGCAGCTCAAACTGATGGAGGACATGGATGAAGTCATCAAGCCTCGTAGTGGAAGTCTCAAGAAAAAACAGCGGCCTAAATCCATCCACAGGGACGTGATGGAGTCATCTACTCCTCCTGTCAGAACCACAGGTGAATGAGTCGCAAGGTGCTGTCATAAAAACGTGCTTTTACTCAACTTCTCATGCTGATCTTTGCTGCTTCTGTGTGCTGCTCTCCTGCAGGTGTGCGTCCTCGGGGCTTCTCTGTCTCAAGTGTTTCGCTAGCTTCCCTCAATCTGGCTGACAGCGACAGAGACCAGCCAGATAACAGGAAAAACAACAGGTTAGAAACCAACTGACTGCTTTAATTTCATTATCTATCACTCACAAACATTAACATGAAGACCCTGAGCCATGCCAGAAGTTTAGATGTCGTCAACCTTAACCACCAAATGTAATGTATTTTAATGGCATTTCATGGAATAGACTGACACCAAAGGGTTCAATATGGTGAGGTGGAAACATTTTCAAAATGTATACAGATAAGAACTGTGAACAATTAGTGTCTGTCAGATTTGTCCATTCTTGTTACAAAGAATTTCTAAAAAATATGTTTTTTTACGAATTGTAATTGACTTTGACTAGGCCATTTAACACCTCCATATATTAGGATCTGGGTGATTTAATAAGGAGTTATATTTTTATTAAATTAAAGAACAAAGTGCTCTGAAAGGGGAAAAATAATTTTGAAATAAAAAAATGTGACACGTTTTCACAGTGATAACATAAATTGACAATGTTATTAGAAACTAAAGAAAAACCTTAGAGAGAAAATATTTTGTCAGAGAATAAAAAAATTGGCAATTGGTTTTCCTTTCATCTTGTTCTGTTTATCTGTATATGTGTTATACTTTATCTTCCCCGCAACTTTATCCACCAACACTTTATTATTCAGCCCTTTGTGATGATCTGTTGTCAGGGGGGCCGCCAGGAATTGGGGGCCCCATGAAAGACATTGATATTGGGCCCTCGACTCCAATTTTATCTGAATATAAAAATCTAACTAAACAGTTTTAATATTGACTCAGGTTTTAATACAGGCTGCAGGAGGCTACTCAATTCACCTCAGTTGTCCAGGATACAGTATAAACAACTGGAAGCCATTTCTTTTTATAGTTATCATTATTTAAGAAAAAGTAATGTTTTTCAATTTATATATATATATATATATATATATATATATATATATATATATATATATATATATATATATATATATATATATATATATATATATATATATATATATATATATATATATATATATATATATATAATGGGAAAAAGTGGCAAATTCCAACAGACTGTACCGATGCCAGTTTGCATCAGTACAGTCTGTTATAATTAAGTTCCGTTTCAGACAGCAGGCACCATTAATGACTAGGTAGTTGTATCCAGCAGATAGCTATCTTATTTTACTCAACAGCTTAATAATCTGTCGGTAATTTGAGCTATTCAGTTAAGAAAACATTCTGGCAAAAACAAGAGGTCTCAGTAATGGATGCCTTCTCCCTCTCTCCTGTTTCTCCTTCCTTTCCGTTCCTTTTTACAACCCAGACGTTGGGGCCCTGCATTTTTCAGCCGCTGACGTTTTTACCACACTGCTGCTTATTTTCATATTTTCTTGTAAATTTGTTTCTTTCCTTATCACTACGTCAAATGACGTGAGCATGGCATTTAAGCCCCGGTGCGAGCGAACTGCAGGTCGCAGACAGAGAGACCTAATGTAATGCACTGAGCTCCACACCATTTATTGCATTTTCACAGGAGGAGGGCTGTGAATAAATTCATGCTTTTTTTTTCTCTGTTTACTGCTAAAAAATTTGGGAGAACAATAACATTATTTATTTTACTGATTTTATGTTATTTTTATATTTAAAAAATATAGTGGGACAAATCTTTTCTTCTTTTGGGGCCCCCCTCAGTCAAGGGCTCTTAGAATCGTCCTAACTTTTCCCCCAATACGGTGCCCCTGTCTGTTGTATAAGATATTAAGAGTATTGTGCACTTCTAAAGGTTAAACATTAGTTTTTTTTCCTTTCACATCCACATCCTTAATCCAATAGTAAGCTAATCAGCTAAAACTAAGTTAGAAACTACTATGGTTTGGTTTGTGTTTTTGTGCATACCAAGTAAAACTAACAAACCCTTTGTTACACCCTGATTTGACTTTCTTTGAATGTGTAAAAAATACTAATGTACTCCTTGACCCAGACCCAGAAGGCTCTATTGTCTACAGTTTGATTCTGCTTTCTCCCTGTCTTCTCCTCTTTTTCTACGTCTGCTGTGCATGAATCCTTCAGAGGCAGCAAACTAGCTTCTGCCCATATCCCGTTTTTTTTAAGCTCCCCCAAAGACAGAAAGGGAAGGTTAGTAACACTGAAATAAAGTTAAACCTCTTTAGGTGTTGTTCTGTGAAGATATGCTGGAGCTTCAATTTAATTTTATATTTTGCTTCATTGCGTTATTTATATAAAAAAGAAAATGGAGGTTAATTTCCTAATTAGGAAACTGTATTTGCACCGTTATAGTTTTTGTGTTTTTATTATGGTTCATCAGATGCTGGCTGCAGAGCTGTTTCCATTTCTTTCTCTGTATTGCATTTAATCTCTGCTTTATGCTTAAGCTGTTTGCTTGCTGTTCCTTTCATAACTCTCTGTAACCATGAGGCCAACCACTTTGCTTTGCTTGGTTGAACACAGCTCAGCTTCATCAGAGCGTTAGACTTTGATGTGATGCAGCACAACAGGCAGACTTTGGAAAACTATGTCCCAATGTCTAAACTTGCTTTGACCCATCTCTTTGTTTCTGTGCATGTCTCTGTGTGCAATGTCTGGCACTATCTTGTATGTGTCTGGGTGTGATTTGTTTTTCCGTCTGTGTTTGCTGTTTGGTGGCCACAATCAGGCCAGACTCCGCAGAGGGCTTTTCGTCTTGTCCTTCGGCCGGCAGTCGTAATGGAGAAAAAGACTGGGAGAACGACTCGACCACCTCCTCCACACCCTCCAACACAGAATACACAGGTAGAAAGGGGGAGAAATTTGGGATTTGTATTCTCTCTGCTCTGTTTGTCCGGCAGATGTTTAATTTTTGCACTCTCATCCCTTCTTTCCGCAGGACCAAAACTGTACAAGGAGCCTAGTGCAAAATCCAACAAGCACATCATCCAAAATGCCCTAGCTCACTGCTGCCTGGCTGGGAAAGTCAACGAAGGGCAGAAAAACAAGATACTTGATGTATGTTTTGTATCTGTGGTTGTATAATGGTTACAGGTTAAGTTACATGAACTTTGTTTCACTTTCTTTGACTATTCTTACCTAAAGGTATAGTGGACGATCTTTTTTGGACTTCGAGGTCCAGGGGGGACATCCTATCTTTTGGTTGTCCCACATGCAAATCTTTGTGACGTGCTAGTTTTCCATCACTGTGCATTAGAAAACACTGGTGTATGTGTGCAGTAAGCTTTGGTTTCAGCTATTTCTCTTCCTGCATACTATGAAATAATAGATCATTAAATAAGAAATACCCAAAGGAAAAAAAATAGACTAGACCTAATTTGGGCATTCTTTCATTTTATGGCAGAAGAGCAGGTATGGTGTTTTGCATGTGTAGTAATTTGCTGGGGAAGATTCTCAGTCATCCAGGTCATAGTCATTCCATAAAAGTTAAAAAAGCAAGCCACTTGATTTTGTTTTCCAAATTTGAAGACATTTCCCTTCCCATCCAAAAAGCTTTTTCAGAAAAATCGTTCACTGTGTCTTTCAAGTGGTTTTGATTATGCTTAAAAGTCAGGGAAATACTTTAGACAGATTGCCTGTTTTGAAGAACAGCAGGAAAATTGGTTACAAAAAGATTTGTCATTATTTCTATACTTTTTGTCTTTGGACCCAAGGCCACTAAGTAATCCATCCTTTTTAATGCTTCTCTCAGAATTGTTCAGAGAGGTACAAGGTCTAGGAAAGAAACCTGTCTTCTTAATTGGATACGAGGGCCCGTCCACACCAAGTTTAGAGGAAACTGACATTATTTGTGTGTACCAACTTGCCGTCAGTCTACACAGATGCCTCTTTTCTCACTTCAGGATTTATTATTTTTAACCTGCTCCTCTTCTTTCTTTTCTTCGACAGCAGCCTTGCCAAGCTCCTCTCTGGCATGGCATACATATTAAGACACCTATTACAGTTCCTTGGTCTAATTTTGTTTAGTTTTTAAGCTCAAATATTTATTTAGGGGTACCATCTTTGGCTCCACATGTGTGTAGCCCCAAAGATCGTTCTCCAAGGTGACATTCTGGGGAATCTGAGGCTTTCCCAGACCAGAAGTGTTGTATACTCCATCATCCAAATTCGGGTTCTATAGAATCTTCTTCCTGTTACATTTCCCAGCAAAAACATCCCTATAAAAAAACTTGCTTGATGACATAGATTCTCATCCAGTATCTAGGTGCTTTATAAGCCCAGCAGCCTGAAAATGGAAGCTTATGTGTGGGAACTGGTTCTTTTGGTCATTATCCATATCTTACGACCAAAAGTAAGGGTCAGCAGGTGCACAAACTGGTTAATCCAGTAGCTTTGCTTTGTTCACTTATCTCTTTTTTCAACTCAACACTCTAGCAAGGCACCCATCATACTCTAGGGGGTGTTGACTTATCCTACTTTCTTCAAACTCGCTCTGCTTCTAATGCACATCAAGATCATGCCTTAAAGATATCAACAGAAGGACTTACCCAAAAGAACCTGAGATAAGACCCTTTTTTTTTTTTTCAAACTGGACACTGTCCTCCCTACAACTACACCTTGAGATCCCTGTCAATGAACTAAATGAACAGAATCAGGGACGAGGGACGGCTCTGGTGGAATCGAAACTGCACCTGTAGGATTCAGACATGGTTTCTGTCTTTGGAAAGGCAAAAAGCACTAACAGTACAACCAAGCTCCTTTAGCAACCCTTCATGGTTAAATATCTGATCCAGTCTTCAGGGAGAATTAAAACCACATTGCCTGTCCTAAATTCAAAGTTTGACAATCAAGTCAGATCCTCCTACTGCTGAATAAACTTTCCCAGGCTTGAGAAACACCCTCTCTTAAATGTGGAATCACCTCCTATGGGGTACTACATGAATCACCTCTCCTGTTTTACTTCACTTCTGCCTTTTTGTTCTATTTACAGAAAGCATTGAAAAATGCTTTCCATGGTAACGCACAGCTTTTTATGTCCCTTAGAAAAGACTAAGGGCTCCATACAAATGATTTACTACTCTGGAAGGAAATGAGCAGCAATAGATTTAGCAGTTTTGTTTTGTTTTTCTAGCTAAATGATATCAAAGACATTAATGATATGTATCTGCTAATCACTTGGTGGTTTGAACTTGAAGCCACCAATCAGGCTCCAAATCTGGTGTAGTGATGATCTCAGACCTGAACCTTCAGAGGCACATAAAGACAATAATAAAGACTGCCTTTTATCATCTAAAGAATAGGACTAATGTCTCAACGGGATCTTAAAAATTGTACTCATGGCTTTATCTATAGTAGAATTTATCAACGTTTTGTTCCAAACCAGAAATGAATTTGTGTTACTACACAAATTTAATATTCCACATTGATATAATCTTTTTCTTCTGCACATCTCTTGCAGGAAATGGAGAAATCTGAAGCCAATAACTTCCTGGTGTTATTCCGTGACTCTGGGTGTCAGTTCAGGTCTGTCTACACGTATTGCCCTGAAACCGAAGAGATCACCAAACTGGCCGGTATTGGCCCTAAAACCATTACCACCAAGATGATCGAGACTCTTTACAAGTACAACTCGGACAGGAAGCAGTTCAGCAAGATCCCAGCTAAGACCATGTCTGCCAGTGTGGATGCCATCACCATCCCCAACCACCTGTGGCAAACTAAAAAGCAGGGGACGCCCAAAAAACATCCAAAGTAGTGCCAGGTGATGGGGCAGCATCTGGAATTACTCCGTCAAATCAAACAGCTTGTAGAGGACGATTCTTTTTTTTTTTTTTATTAGACAAACACCAATTACCATTCCCTAAAAGTCACAACTGGAATTTCAAAATACATGTTAACACATAAAGATAATACAAAGCTGGCTATGACACTACTTCCATTGGGCACAAGTGTTTTCTTGTCAGCATGTGTGTCAATGTTCTCATGTGCCAAAAAAGAAAAGATACCAGGTGAGCCGATGCCTTACCACGCTTAACTATAGAAGCACTGAATGTCACGCCTCTCAGAGGCACTTTGGATTTCCTTCGTTTATCTTATATAGCCTTATGCTTGTTCTGTCATGGATACTCTGTGGGTGTTTGTGTCATTTTGTTCTCTGTACACACAGATCTGAGATCAGATTACCCGAATGAAGGGTGGACTCTCTGTGATCAGAAGCAGCATATTTGATGCAACTTCTGCTGCTAAAAAAAGCATGTTTTTAATTGTTTTTTGTTTTTTCCTTTTTTACATGTCACTGACAGCCCTATAAACAGGTTATATTTCAGTATGTTTGTGTGTGAGTGTGTGCACATACAGTGAAGTGCCAAACAGTGCGTCAAGTGGAGAATGCATTAGTTGAAGGAGTGCGTAAGGATGTGTCCCATCAAACGGTTCTGGAAAACACCTGCAATATACTTTTTAATTTATTTTATTTTGATATATTTCTGAAGATATCTTACGCTTTATTTGGAATCCTCTGAAATCCAACGCATACATTAGTTACATGTGTTTGTATATAATGAAGCAAGTCAGCTCTTGGTAGCATTTAAGTAGCTTTTGTAATTGATCACTTTGATGTTTGCTGGTTTCTCTGGGACCTTTTATTGTGCTGCAGCTGCAGATGAGTCCCATCTCTCAACAGCATTACTGAAACAACTACCATGAGATATAAATCTGTGTCATCAAGATGTGCAGTGATTTAAATGCTAACTTTTGACCATGCTGCAGAGTAAACAAATGATTAAAAATGTCACATAGAGGTGTTGTGTGTTCTCTGTGGTCTGGATTAAGATTAATTGTAAATACAAAGATGAACTTACTGTACCCACACTAGCTGTTTCAGACTCTCTCCACTACTGTCATGTTTCATCCAAGATCTTTCTGCATTGTTACTGCCGGTCCTTTTCACTTTACTGTTGCATTTTTACGTCAGGCATTCCTTTTAGTATGTGTTGACTCTGTACAGATATATTTTGACATATAAGAAGTATTTTTTGTAAGGATATTTACTAGTCGGAAGTGTGCACTAATGAAGCAGTACAGTTATGGAAGGATATGTGTTTGAATGCAAAGTTCTGCTTTTTTTTTTCAAGTTCTGGATTCATTTTGTTTTGAATCAGGAAAATATGATCAATATTTCATGCATTTCTGTTCTGTTTGTTTATTTTTGTTTTTAATTGTTCTTTTCTGTTTTATTAAAAAGCCAGCTCTTAACAGTTTTAACAGTCTCTGTCTCAGCTTTACTGTAATTTTGAAATGCATAGTTTGTTTTATGGTGATACTAACCATCACTGGTGGTACATTTATTTCAATTAATAGCAGCTAAGTAGCTGCAGTATAAATAGGCTGCTTTTTTTGTTAATATTACTGCTTTGGAAGTAATATTCTCAGTCCTTAGGTTTCCATAAATGAGGGTGCCAATATTTCAAATAAGTAGTTTGAAATCTCAGATCTAAAATACAATAACTTGTTTTACTTGATGTGATAAACAATCTGTGAGGCTTCAAAGTTTACTTTTGCAACTCCTTGCAAATTTTGGATATTGGATAATACGGTACTTATATTAAGAAGAATTGTCGTTTTGGATGAAGAAGAAGAGTGTTGGCCTAGTGGTTGGAGCAGTGTGCTTGTGCTCTAAGGTTGCAAGTACCCGGTTCGATCCCCGCAGCCTAAACTCTGGGTCCCTCAGCAAAACCCTTAACCCCTGATTGCTCCGTGGGCGCCACACAATGGCAGCCCATCGCTCCCCAAGGGGATGGGTCAAAATGCAGAGAATGAATTTCCACCTTGTGGGACAAAGTGATTTACATTTACGTATATGGAAGTGGTTTACAAGTGCAGGACAGTGAGAAGAGTATCAGTGTGTTTAGGTCTCATCCTGCGAGCAAGTTTACCCAAAAGCAGAGAGTAAGATGCTTAAAGAAGCCTTAAAATACCCTTTGTCCCTCATAGAATGTATAGCAGACTCCTGCATGGCTCCACAATCGGAGAAAAACTGCATAGGTTAGAACTTTGATGGAAGGTGTGGAGGAGCTAACCTCTGATCTTAAAGAAAACCATGAAGACCTTGTTTAAGTTTACCTGAAAGAAAAGAGACTGCAGGGCTAAAAGTTAAGGTGTAGTGGAATGTCTTTTCTATTTTCTAATGCAAATTAGGCTCTCTTCATCTGCAACCTATATCTTAAAGATCCAGATTTCCAGTGTTTTGGATTATTTTTTCTCTGGAACTTGACTTTAATTCTCTTGGTATTTTGTGTATGTTTCTTTGTGGATACTGAAATGGGGTCTGTCTCTATACAAATCGCTCCCTGACTCTGGCCTCCGTAGCAGTTTGAAAGAACAGATATCTTCATGGCACCTCAGAAGGAAGCTACAAGGCAATGAAAAAAATATTAAGATCAGACTAATGAGGCATTTATTGTCCGTTTTGCTTTGTTTTCCTCTGCTGAGCACCAATGTGTGTCACTCACATAATGTGTTGGAAGATCTTTCTTTTTTTCTTATTAGCCACAGAATATCTAGCAAAAACAACATACATGCAGCTGTTTGTCTGAAACATCAAATAATTCACAAATGATCAACAATCATGATCACGCTCTTCTGTTTCTCAGAATTTAAATGTAACAAAGACAGGTGAGATTGAGTTTTACCAAGTCCCAAGTAACTCTCAAGTCTTTGAAGAACAAGTTCCGAGTTAAGACCAAGTCTTATGGTTTATTTTTCAAGTCATTAACAAGTCTTATTCACCAGCTATTCTTTAAATATTGAAGTATTTCAGTCTTGCAATGGACTGAAACCTTCAGGATGTAGCTTTTGTTGCTCCAATAAGAGAATCAAGTCAGTTTATGAAAAAAAATTTCATCTCCAAGTCAGATCACTGCAAGAAGTCTGTCTTTTCAAATATAGTATAATGAAGTATTGTCTTAAAGTCTAAAGTAAGTAATAAAATATGTAAATTGAATTGAGCCATCAGGTCAAAGTTTAAATCTGTAAGGTTAAAGTATATTTAATTTAAGTATATATACTTTAATCTTACATGTTGAAATTTATTTTTGATTGGACCATGGCAATGCTGTAAAACTGCAATGGTTCCTCAAAAGGTTGCTGCAAAGCAAACATTCCCAGCTCCCTGCAGCAGAACTTTTTTGTTGTTGTTGCACAAGAGAACAGTTATAAGTGGATACAGAGATCAGATAAATTCAATATTTATACAGTTAAACATATTAAAACTTAATGAATTGATGGAGTATAACATTTTAACATGTATGCATAAGGCACATAGAAAGTCCTACCCAATATTTCAAATTATATTTTTAGAAAGAGTAATTAGATAACAGGAACAGATGTTTTTATTTTAAATCCAGACATAGAACGGTGACGATGGAAAGATATATTTCTAATAAAGGTGTTAATACATAGTTCAGTATAAATATTGCGTTAAAACAATCAAAAACCTTTTCTGAATTTAAAAGCAGAGGTGTAGCTAGAAAATTTTTATAAGGGTGGCCAGGCAAAAGTAAATAAATGTAAATATATGAAAATATATGAAAAATTAAAACGTTTAGAATATTTCACTTGAGAATATTACTGCTGCTACTGGCCCTTTTTGAATTCATGGGCTGCATCCTCTGTAGGCCAGATTCAAAGGACGATTACGACATAGCGTGGTGCCAAGGTCTGGTCGGATCCCAAGACTACTTGTTATGCAACGTTAAAATGCGTCATTCTTTTGTCCCGATTTGAAGGATGGGTCCGATGTATCCTCGCTATCCTTGGATATCCCAGGATTCATTGCAAGACCAAGCAAGCCGGCTGCTCCGTGATCAGAGGTAATGGTGCTTGGTGCCTAACAGTGGTGAATAATGGAAGTTCAGTTTAATATAATGTATGTGAATAGTTCCGTCTGAATGAATGAAAACTGTTGTTTTAATGGTTACTGAGTCAGATATGTGGTGGTGATGTTTGATTTATCTAAAGGTTTTTATCTATTACTGTGTGAATGGGTTTAGCTGTAATTTAAGGACAGATTCTAATATATCTGCAGTGAGGGGACTATAAATCTGATAGGATTTTTATTTTTAATTGCTATTTTGCACAATATGCTTAACTAAGCATTTTTTATTGTTGGATATTAGAGATTTTGCAGATTTGTTTTTATACATACATTGTTTAGATTTACTTATATCCAGAGATGGGAAGTAATGAAGTACAAATACTTCTTTACTGTACTCAAGTAGATTTTTCTGATATTTTTACTTTACTTTACTACTTATTTTTATGGCGACTTTTTACTTCTACTCCTTACATTTTTACACAAATATCTGTACTTTCTACTCCTTACATTTTAAAAAAAAAAGGGCTCGTTACTTTAGTTTTGAATCATTTCAATGGAGTTACCGTTATTATTTTTCACGTCATCAATACCAAATGCAATCTAATTGGATGGGAATCTACGTTGCATTTGACGCACCACTACAAGATGAATCGACAGATTCGGCGGTATTCATTGGCGGCAAATCATTGCAGCTTGGTGGCGGTGGCGTTAGCATAGTAGTATGGATGACGAGATGATTGAAAATGAACACAATGGAGATCTAGTCCTATTGGCAGACATCCATTTAAAATGTAGGCAACGGCATGAAAAAAGGGGTTTCTACTTTTACTTTTATACTTTAAGTAAATTTACAAGCCTGTACTTTGTTACTTTTACTTGAGTAAAGAAGTTTAATCAGTACTTCCACTTTTACCAGAGTATTTTTTAACACAAGTATCTGTACTTTTACTCAAGTACAGAAAGTGAGTACTTTTGCCATCTCTGCTTATATCTTTCTACCCCTTTTATAGAATAAAATAGAATATCTCTTTATTGTCCCACAATGGGCAAATTTACTGCAGCAGAAAGATTATTGAAAATGGTCACACAAATGTGGACCTTAAAACAATGTATAAGAATAACATAATAGGGAAGCATTAAAATATAAACAATAGAATACCGTAAAGTATTTTGAAAATAGCAACAACATTAGAGAAGTGCAAAATGACAGTAGCATGTTATTTAACTGACTAAGGTTTATATTATTACATTTGCTTTTATTAGTTCATGCTCCCGGTGGTTGGCACCTTTATTCTGCTCTGGATTCTTGTGATTGTAGTATTTTTTCACCTTACAATAGAAAAAACCAAAAACAAACAAACAAACAAAAAAACAGCAGTTTCGAAAAGTTTGGTATTTATTATTTTCCTCCTTTGTGTGTCGACCGTCACATAGCCTTCAGCGGTAAAACCCGACGAAGCATACCTGTTTGAATTCTTCCGGTCTCCTTATTTTCAAGGACTTTGAAGGATCCAGTCCAGGTAGACCACATCTTTGGAAACGCGGCCCATGAATTCGAACAGAGCCTCTGTCTGTATTAGAAGGGTTAGGGATGGGGTGGCAAATAATTGGAAGGGGTGGCAAATAATTGGCTAAGGGTGGCCATGGCCACCCCTGGCCCCCCATCTAGCTACGCCCCTGTTTAAAAGAAACCTGAAACTTTTGATGATGAAGCGATATGACAACTGATAAACTGTTTTCTGTATTTGTAAAAATCCTTTGTTATCTTGTGTATGGGTGACAACTTCTTCTTGTTTAAACGAATAGTGGCAAATATGTTTTACTCAATTTTGCTTCTTTTCAGTTATGATTTTGTTTGTTATAAGAACTCTTCATGTTGTGTTTTATTGAGTGAAACGCAAAGGGCCCCCCTCAGCTGAAATCTTTCATACACATATGTGTATTTAAATCTAACTCATGAATATTTATTCCTTTCTCTGCTCACAGAGAAAAAAAGAAGCTCCTCATGCTCATGAAGGTGTGGAGGACGGATGGAGGCGGTGCTCTGCAGGCAGCAGCAGGCTGGGCAGGGCGGCTCCGAGGACCGCAGTCAGTGAGCGCAGCCGCGGCGGAGAAAGAGGATACAGACACGGAGGACTACCGAGCAGGACCACCGTGACACCGCCTGTGAACAGCGCGGAAACACACCGGGGGTCTTCGTTTTTCCTTCCCATGTTTCTGTAGAAGCAGGTTAGTGTTGAGTCACCCCGCGCGCGCCCAGCTAACCAACTAACTAACTAACTAACTAACGGATGCTGCCTCTCTCCTCCTCGGCCCTGGCTAGCTCTCCTCCTACCGCTGCTTAAATTAGGCAGCTTTCTAGGAGCCCTGACACTAACTAGCTGTTTGGCGGTTCCGCTCTAATCCTGCGGCTAAATTCAGCGCATATATGGAGATAACAAGCAGCTTAAGCTTCTTATGCTGTTTGACTTTGTGGCTTAATGCTCGTTATTGGCTAACCATGTCTGAGGCTAGCTTAGCAGAGCTGCTGCTCCATCAGCTGCAGGCTTTCTGACTGACAGCTCACAGCTTTCTCTGGGGCTCTGCTTCATTTTACACCATGTTATGGAAATATCTTTAAATATTTACCTACCAAAGTTTCGTTGAAATAGCAAAGCAACAAGTATCCAGATTAAACAAGTTTTTGGTGCCACTAAAATAAGCATTTATTTACCTGAGCTGTCAAACAGCTTGGATATAGAGCAGCTCTGGTGTTTCATACAGATAGGATAAACTCACAGATTTATGCAAAATAGATTTGCTCCGATTTGTTGTTTTGATTTTACACAGACACGTGGAAAGGGATTACACCCCTTAGACTTGTTTGGGTTTTTTCTAAAATTATTTTATTACAAAACCAAAATCTATTATGTATTTTCTTCATTTTGATTAATCGACACAAAATTCATAGATTTTATGTGGGAGGAAAATTGCAAAAAAATATAAAATAACCCACAGACCTTAAATATAAGGTCCATGAATCCAAGTTTAATTTCAGCTTTGGTTGAAATCAGGGACACTGTTGGTCTGATGTCATTGGTCCTATGCAAAAATATGCATGCTTGTTTTTTATGCTTGACAGGAAATAAGGGTGTATTTCGTTTAAATAGAAAAGCAGCATTTCTTGCTACATTTATACATAACTTATAAGCACTACACTCACTAGATGCTGTTTATCAATGACTGAAGATTAACTGGCTCTGATGAATGAGGAATTAAGACTTTTGTCCACTAAATCTGTGCCTATTTAACAGAATATAGTCCAAATATGTCTATGTTGATTTGTAGTTTTTTATTTTATTTTAAAGATATAGAATTGTGCAGAGCTAAATAGAGGTAAAACCCACTCTTTTAAATGTTCTTTGTATCATGAAAAAAGCAAAATAATAGATTCAAGGGACGCCATATAAATGTATTGTATTTATGTGCCCTGGTACTAGAAGAGTAACTACCACTGAGCGTTTAATATATTAACCTCACTCTACAAGTTGTACATCTAGGATGTAGTTACTCTGTTTTACCCATTCCATGTATTTTATTTAGGGCTGAAACAATTCATTGGATTAATCAATTATTGAAATAATGTCAACAAATTTAGTAATCAATTAATCGTTAACTGGAGTATAGAGACTCTAAAACATGTCTTTAGCTCACAGAGCGACCCACTTAGAGCAGGAATTATACCAAAATTGTAAAAAAATTAACAAAAATTTTGCATTTTAGATAAAACATGTTTTTGTCTGTCAATATTCTCCATCCAGAACTCATCTACTGCTGCAACAATGCTGTATTGTAAATTATAAACATGTTATTCACATGTAATTGTTGGTAGGGACAAATAGGTCAGTCCAAAATGTTGGTAGGGACATGTCCCTATGGTCTCTATGCAAACCTACGCCCATGCATGAATCCATTATTCATCTTTTTTAAATAGAACTACTGTTGGACTGAGCGGTTCTAACCCATAAATAGGTTTTGATTCGTACCATTCTTTTTGCAGCTCTCTTTCTCTCTCTATGCTAGTCATTGTCTTTCTAGAAAGTGAGCCTCTATCAGTCTTTTTCAGCCTCTTGCAGGTTCTCTTCATGCTGAAGAAAGTGATGCCCACAGCATGATGCAGCTTTCCCTGTGCTTCACTGTTGGGCTGTTGTAATGAGGGGGATAAAGCTATTGCTGTCAAGTTTCTGTTGACCTGCAAAGTTGGTTTGAACTTCAGTTTTCTTTCTCTTCACCATTATACATGAGCAAACATTGTATTGTTCTTCATATATAGTCCTAAAGCTTATGCCTCGTATGAGCTACTGCTATTGTTCTGCTGGACTCGAGTATCTCCCATCTCGATCTCTGTGATTAACAGGGACACAATGAACACTAATCAGCATGATTTCCTCAGTAGGTCGTGTAAACATGCCAGATTTATCCATGTAGGCCTTTATATGGGCAGACCATGAAAAAAATTTGGGAAGAATAAAAGTTGAATGTAAAGTAATTAAAATGACATCATCTTGTCATAAATGACCCACATGTAAGCATACTCTGATGCACCATTATTTTAAAATGAATTGCTAAATTTACCTAATTACAGCCACTGTTTTCTAGATTGAGAAACACCAGCTGTGAGATGAAATGTGGGTTACTATCTAAAGCAGGTATGCTCAAAATCTGTTCTTAATGGCCACTGTCCTGCAGGATTTAGAGGTTTTCATGCACTCGCACAGCTGATTTTCATTGATTGCTGATTAACAGCCTTTTACAGAACCACATTCATTGGAATCAGCTGTGCTAAAGCAGGGAAACCTAGAAAACCTGCAGGACAACAGCCTTCGAGGACTGACATGCCTGATCTAAAGCATTAACTGCCTTGATGGAGACAGCCACTGTCCAGATGCACTTTTTGGGGATTTATATGTAACAGGAGTTTAAGTTAAACTACTGTGTCTCTATTTTATTTAATTTTTTTTGTTATTTTCAATTAAATTTAGGGTTGTTCTACTAAACAATGATATATGAAGTAATGCATAGTAGCAGTTTGGGTTAAACCAGTTTTACCATAAAAAATCTGCAATAAAAATGGCAAAACATATGTATAAATAATAAGGTGTCCAAAGGTAATTTAGCTGTAGATGAGAGACTTTGTAGGTCTAATGTGTTTAGGTCTGTACAGGAAAGCTGTTCTATAACGGTGGTGAACCTTCACAGCACTGCCCCGCTTTCCAACATTACACTGATAGTATTGCTGACTCATTCAGGAGAGAACAGCTGAAGCTGTTTACAAATGTTTAAAGCACCGCAGGCCTTGGTTAGAGTCAGTGGTCATGATTCAACAAAAGTCAAGAACCATCCACCCAAAAAGATCTGTTTTACAAAAAACACTTTTTTTTTTTTTTTTTCTTTTTTTTTTTTTTACATAATGGTTGATTTGGAAAGTTTGATTTATTTTGCTTCTTCATGTTTGAAATCATTTGGAAGTTTGTTTTTACCACATTGACACCTGCTTTTTATATCCATTTAAAAGTCTGTTCAGAATTTCCTGGAAATTTGTTTTAATTATTTTGTTATTAAGGCTTTGACTTTAAATGCATTAAATTGGATAATTAAAAACATTTTAACATGTAGAAATAAAAATGAACGCAATTAAGTGTACATATTAAATTCCAAACGGGAGCTTTTGTACTTGCTGTTTATTGTACCATAAATCTGAAGCACAAGCAGCATCAGTTGGTCCACTAGAAATATTCAAGCTTGAAAACCATGTCGGAAACCATAATAAATGCTATATGACCTGGATTTATAAGAAACAATGGCCTGAAATCCTGCATATTGAATATGCTTTATGCAGAACTGAAGTATCATGGTTCTGTCAGTTTTAGAAATGAAACTAATCTTCTGTTTTCAGGGAGTAATGTATGCCGTGTGCCCTGCTGCTAACTTTTTGTACCATATTTAGAAATTTTTATTTAATAGGTCTGAAACAATTATTCAGATTAATCATGAGTAATCAATAATTGAAATAATCAGCGGTTAATTTAGTAAACAGCAGTTAATCGTTAACTGGAGAATACAGACTGTATAACATGTGTTTAGCTAAAGGAGCAACCCACTCAGGGTAATAATTATACCAAAACTGTAAAAAAAATATTTAAAATGTTTCCTTTTTCGATAAAAAATTTTTTCGTCTGTCATTCTGCTCTATCCAGAACTCCTGAAGTGAGAAGTTTTAGTTCCACCTGGTTAAATTCTGTAAAAAATCTTCTTTAAGGAACCTCTTGCTATCAGATTATTAATCGATTAATTGAAAAAATAATCACTAATTTATGGCAAAATAATCATTACCTACAATCCTATAATTTAGTTAAACTTTTACAGTGCTGTGTGATAGTCTTTGGGGTCTGGCTGTTTATGCTTCAATAATGTTTTAAAAATAAGATTACTAAAGTGACACAACAGATAATAAAAGTCAATGAATAAGATGCAACTTTAATGAGTCTTCTGTTTTCTTGCTTATTTCCCCAGCCTGCTGCAGTGGGTTCAGGCTGATGTCTATAGCCTAACATGGTTGCTTGCTTCTCTTGTCTTTCATGTTTAGCTTTCCTGCTCCTTTCCTCTGCGTCGATCACCATGACGGCTGAAGAAACCATAAATGTGAAGGAGGTGGAGATCATCAAGGTGATCCTGGACTTTCTCCACTCCAGGAAGCTGCACATCAGCATGTTGGCTTTGGAAAAAGAGAGCGGCGTCATCAATGGACTCTACTCAGACGACATGTTGTTCCTCAGGTAGTTTCTCACTCTCACCTGAAATGTTTATGGTTCATCAGATTTCTGAGTCCAACGGCCATTTATTATCAACCTTTTATTGAATTATCTTTTAATTCATTTTAATTGTATTTATCTTATAATGACAGTATATGTGACCCGTCATGGAATCCTGGGACACATGTCTCCCGGACGACTCTCGAGCAAAATGAAAAAAGAAAAAAAATTATAATTTATTTATTTATTTATTTTTTTTCAAATTTGGTGATTTTCGCTTTTTTGCTATTTTAAGTCATGAAGAAGCCTTTCTGTGTTTGAGAAAGCAATATTGCTATATTTAAAAGTTAACATTTTAGAATAAAGAGATTTCCTCATATGCAATATACACTATATTGCCAAAAGTATTTGCTCACCTGCCTTGACTCACATATGAGCTTAAGTGACATCCCGTTCCTAATCCATAGGGTTCAATATGACGTCGGTCCACCCTTTGCAGCTAGAACAGCTTCAACTCTTCTGGGAAGGCTGTCCACAAGGTTTAGGAGTGTGTTTATGGGAATTTTTGACCATTCTTCCAGAAGCGCATTTGTGAGGTCGCACACTGATGTTGGACGAGAAGGCCTGGCTCTCAGTCTCCGCTCTAATTCATCCCAAAGGTGTTCTATCGGGTTGAGGTCAGGACTCTGTGCAGGCCAGTCAAGTTCATCCACACCAGACTCTGTCATCCATGTCTTTATGGACCTTGCTTTGTGCACTGGTGCACAGTCATGTTGGAAGAGGAAGGGGCCAGCTCCAAACTGTTCCCACAAAGTTGGGAGCATGGAATTGTCCAAAATGTCTTGGTATGCTGAAGCATTCAGAGTTCCTTTCACTGGAACTAAGGGGCCAAGCCCAGCTCCTGAAAAACAACCTCACACCATAATCCCCCCTCCACCAAACTTTACACTTGGCACAATGCAGTCAGACAAGTACCGTTCTCCTGGCAACCGCCAAACCCAGACCCGTCCATCAGATTGCCAGATGGAGAAGCGCGATTCGTCACTCCAGAGAACGCGTCTCCACTGCTCTAGAGTCCAGTGGCGGCGTGCTTTACACCACCGCATCCGACGCTTTGCATTGCACTTGGTGATGTATGGCTTGGATGCAGCTGCTCGACCATGGAAACCCATTCCATGAAGCTCTCTGCGCACTGTTCTTGAGCTAATCTGAAGGCCACATGAAGTTTGGAGGTCTGTAGTGATTGACTCTGCAGAAAGTTGGCGACCTCTTCGCACTATGCGCGTCAGCATCCGCTGACCCCGCTCCGTCAGTTTACGTGGCCTACCTCTTCGTGGCTGAGTTGCTGTCGTTCCCAAACACTTCCATTTTCTTATAATACAGCTGACAGTTGACTGTGGAATATTTAGGAGCGAGGAAATTTCACGACTGGATTTGTTGCACAGGTGGCATCCTATCACAGTTCCACGCTGGAATTCACTGAGCTCCTGAGAGCGACCCATTCTTTCACAAATGTTTGTAAAAACAGTCTGCATGCCTAGGTGCTTGAATTTATACACCTGTGGCCATGGAAGTGATTGGAACACCTGATTCCAATAATTTGGATGGGTGAGCAAATACTTTTGGCAATATAGTGTATCATCGTCTGTTTGTAAGCTGTCCTCTGTTTCCTTTGTTATTTCCCCCTCCTTCCCCCTCGTGGCAAAGTGGTTGATATAAGGTAGCAAAAATGACTGATGTAGTAATATCAACTGAAGATGGATGCTACAAAGATTGATATGCAAATTTTTTGACATTTAGAGGTAAATAGATGCACAGTGAAAACTTCGGAGATGATTTAGCCTAGTAAATTAGCCCCACCCCCCAGCAGCAAAAATCATTTTAGCCTGCAGGTGGTCTAGCCTCGATCAGTACCCCAGGTCCTACAGCTGGCGGGCCAATCAGAACGCATAGATGTGTTTTGAGTTTTTGGATGCAAAGTGGAAGGGGTTTTGAGGGTGGGACGGCAAAGCTGCACGACACTGGAGAAAGCACAACAAGAAAGATGGCAACAACTATTGAACAGTTCTCGTTTGACTCAGCTTTGGAATCAGTTTTAGAAGGATTAGACTTGGGGTTTTTGTTGCAACATGAGCAGGAAGAGGCTCCATGCTCATTCATTTTTTAAAAAGGCTGTATTCGCTGTTTTACCAACAGACTGTTCGTTTAGATTCCCCCACGAGCTTTCTGTCACGCTTACTACGTCACAGTCAGTTGCGCTCATTGGTCAGAGCGTTGGCCAATAGGCACAGACATGGTTTGAAAAACAACGGGTTGTTCTCATCAACAATCTTCCGATGTCTCATTCATCAGGGCCAGACTAAATTACACATTTATTCTTGCATTTAGTTTGGTTTATCAGGTTAGAGATGATTACTTCCACTGAAAAGATCAGAACCTACAATGAAGACTGATTACTTCATTGTAGGCAGTAAGACCTTGATAAAATACGTTTCTCTTTCTTATGGGGTCAGTTTCCATACATTATAGTTTTTTTGTTTTGTGTTCATTCTAAGAACATGTGCGTCAGCTATTACCCACCTAAACCTGCTTGTCAGCATTCTTTGATAAAATGTAATGCTAATAATTTTAGCCAATGGTGGAGGAATTACTACTTTATATTCTTGCCAAGGATTTACAAACGTCAAAGTAAATGTATCAGATTCATTTATTAAGTAAAAGTATGAGGTATCTGTAGCTGTGAAATGTGCAGCCAAAAGTAAAATAAAATCTATTTCACTTTACACAATGGAGATCCACTATTCACTATTTGCACAAAACATTCAAATATAGCATTATATGTCGTGACTGGTCACATATTTGAGATTATTAGAGATTAATTTTAAATCAGCCGCCATATTTTGGAGCTAAATGTGAGTAGTCAATGTTGGATTTTTTTCAGGCAGCTGATCCTTGACGGCCAGTGGGATGAGGTCCTCCAGTTCATTCAGCCCCTTGAGTGTATGGATAAGTTTGACAGGAAAAGGTAGGAACCAAAAAAGTTCCTGCACTAAATAATTTACCCTTTTTTTATTTAAAACATAATAAATACAGCCGTTGGCTATTATAATTCATGTTTAACTCCACAGATTTCGCTACATCGTCCTGAAGCAGAAGTTTCTGGAGGCTCTGTGTGTAAATAATGCCATGTCAGCAGAAGAAGAGCCGCAGCATGTAAGTCCAAGTCTACATATGATGTTTTATAGAACCTTAGACATTTACTGGTACCACTTCTAATGATATGTAAAGCAATCTGTTGTTACAGTAGCATAATCGGATATCTAAAATATTAGAGGCATTTCAACCTTTAATCTGTGTATGTTTATTCTGTAGAAATAATTATAACAAAACAACATATTGTTAGCCCTAACAGTTCTGATAAAATAAAAAAAGTATTATTTTACTGGTTTTAAAGTTAATGAGCACTGACAAATGATAGATTTATGATTTTATGGCTCATTTCTCGTAGCTGTTGATCTATTTTATGATTGAGATCTTGAATATTACCAAGTTCTTTTCATTTAAACAATAGATGAAAATGTGTAAAAGATCTGTGATGCTGTTGGCCTTATTCTTCCAAAGACCACTCTCATAAAAGAATCAAAGGTCAAATAATGTTACAGAAACAAATGTTAGCAGTTGGTTGAATGTAAAAGTCAGCTTTTTGCATCAAATTTACGTCTAAAGGGAACCTGAAGACTGTGGTTTCATGTCCTCTCTTTCTGCTGAATGGTGTGTATTTTCTGATTTTTAGCTAGAGTTCACCATGCAGGAAGCCGTGAAGTGTCTCCACGCTCTGGAAGAGTTCTGCCCATCCAAAGACGACTACAGCAAACTGTGCTTGCTGCTGACATTGCCTCGACTCACCAACCACGCTGAGTTCAAAGTGAGAGTTTTAGCTTTTATATTCACAGCTTAGTCACTGTTTTTCTTTGTTTGCTGCTTAATGGGGATAAAGGTCTTGTACAGATGTTTCTTTGGGGTGAAGATAACAGTCTGACTGTTTTTCCTGATTGTTTTTGTTAATGTTTGACCCTGGATGCCTCGATGTGCCATTTTCCCCCATCAGGACTGGAATCCCAGCACAGCCAGGGTGCAGTGCTTTGAGGAGGCCTGCAACATGGTGGCAGAGTTTATCCCTGCAGACAGGAAACTGAGCGAGGCTGGTTTTAAGGCCAGCGGGGATCGACTTTTTCAGCTGCTTCTTAAAGGAGTTCTGTATGAATGCTGTGTGGAGTTCTGTCAGGTGTGAGCTACTGAAGACACACTGAGCTGGTCTGTTTGTGTAAATGTGTCTGGTGATAAACTTAACCGTGTTTTCGTCTGCAGAGCAAGGCGACGGGAGAGGAGATAACCGAGAGCGAGGTCCTTCTGGGTGTGGACATGCTGTGTGGTAACGGCTGCGATGATCTGGACCTGTCGCTGCTCTCCTGGATGCAGAACCTCTCCCACAGCGTTTTCACCTGCGCCTTCGAACAAAAGCAGCTTAATATCCACGTCGACCGCTTGGTCAAGCCGGCTAAGACCGGTTACGCCGACCTCCTTACGCCGCTCATCAGCAAGCTCTCCCCGTACCCTTCCTCTCCCCTTCGTCGACCTCAGTCTGCAGACACCTACATGTCCCGGTCATTGAACCCAGCGCTAGACGGGCTGTCCTATGGTTTGTCAGGCCAGGATAAAAGGGCGAGCGGCGGGGACATAGTGCCAGGAAAAGGGGTCTCTCCAATGTCTCACTCGTTTGCAAACTTCCACTATCCAGGAGTAGGTGGACAGAATCTGAGCAGGAGCCTCATGATGGAAAGCTCTGAATGCCACAGCATCTTTGAGGAGTCCCCAGAAACGTAAGAGCATTTCAGGGGATTCAATCACTTTCCAGGCCTTGAAAACACCCTAGCAAGTCTGTAAAGGGTCACATTAACACTCTTCGGTGAAGAGGTTGCTATCGAAGAAAGATGACTCCAAATTAGGCATTTTTGGCATCGCACAGGTGTTGAGATGAAACGATTGATTACAGATTTGCTTTTAGCAACTTTAAGAAAAGAAAAATGATCTTCTCTATGGAGGCATATTGGCATTTCCAGCAAATTACGCAACAAAGCAAAGTTGCTTTATTTTAAGCGTTTTAAGCGAGTCCAGCTGTCCTTTAAGGAAAAAGATGTGTATATATGCAAATATCCAGGGTTATTAACAGAATATTTTTATTAGCAGGGGATTATTATTACATTTTTTTAAAAACATTGCTTACTGCTGTAGCGTGCTCACCTTCCTCGATAAACAGACAAGTCTTAACGGCGCAGAGTTCATGTTTTCACTGCACTATTCTCTTTTATATGTGCAATTAAAGAGGTAAATGTTTTTTAAAACAGTTTCCGTGGCCAGTAGTATCAGGTACTGGCGAGATTCCATTGTAATTCTAAATATTTCAGCCTGACTGATGTCTTTGCTGAAATGCGCCGGAGTAGAAAGCCCAGATGCTTTATGCTAAAAAGAATTGGCCTGATTTTTAGAGTAAGTCTGAGCATGCCTTTTTTTAAGTGTAACGGCCCACTATGCTGAAATACTTAGACGAACTTTATTGTCATTTTCTTTACAAAGAGCGTATACAAAAGTAAATTTTGTTAGATACAGCTTTACCACAGCTAATGAGCAGTAGCTTAGCAGTTAAATTTGAACATTTCCATTTATATTTATATAAATTGCAGCAGTGATCAAAATGTAAACGGTGCAGTAGGGACATTGTGCAAACCGCATGCTCTGGCGAGAACCACGTCCTTACAGTTACAATAAGACTCTACTTACCTGACCAGGAACACAGAGAGACTCTGTAATGAGAATCATGCTAATTGTGCTAATAGCTAATGCACAATGAATATTACGGTTTTATGTTTGTTTAGAAAATATTGTAAAATCATGTTTTTTACATCACAGCTGTGTAAGGCCACCAGCTCTCTCTATCGCCTCAAAGCAAATGTACCATCTGCTGTTGGTTTGAATTCTTAGTGACCACCTACACAAAAGCTTAAAGCCTAATGCTAAACCTCTGTGTCCACTCTAAGTCCTCAAACACTAAGCCGATGTACATTTCTTCATCTGTACCCACCTCCTGGGGTCCTGCAGCTTTCGCCTCACTGAGGTGACTTTGCACAGCGATGATAAAGTTAATGCTCCCATTCTAAATGTGTCATTAGATGCAGCGGTTAAAGAAAATTAGCTGTTAGATTATGAGCAGAAGAAGAATAAAAAAGGTTTTGATTTTAAGAAATGCATTTAGAGATCTTCTCAGTCCCTTGTTGAGCTGATTTTACTGTTGGGAATCATAAGGAAGCAAACATGATATCAATTGTTGAATATTAATCTGTTAATAGTATTAGCTGGTTCAGCTTAAACGCACAATATATATTTAATCAGTTTAATCATTATTTCAGTCTTAGCTTTTTTTGAACTGTCTATTGCTGCCAAAATCTGTTATTGCTTCAGAGAAAGATGCATTTTTCTTGTTTTTATTTGGATTATTCTGTGTTTTAGCAGGCGTTTTAATGCTGCTGTATTTATTTATTTATTTATTTTTTTTGTAGATCCAGAACTGACACGCCTGTAGATAAGATGTTGAGCTCTGGTGGAGCTCAGAACATGCGGCCTGCCTCTGCGCCAGGCGAGGAAGCACCGACAGTCGGCTCTGCTGACAGGAATGAGGTGATGATATCCCTGATTAAAATGCTGCTGATGAATGTTTTTATACTTATTTCATGGATGAGTTCTGCTTGTAGCGAGGTTATCTGTTCTGCTTCGTCTAACTGGATCTAAATTAGTGTTACTGAAGCTGACTCAGAGGAATGGTGTGACTGAGACAGTCTATTTTTATCATAAGAGCGCATGTATCTGCTTTTAATTTAGTGGGGAGTAAGACCTAGTGGTTAAGGCATAGGGATTGGAATCCTGAGGTTGTGAGTTTGAAACCCACTCCCACAGATTGCCACTGTGGTTCTCTAAGCACCCTTACCCCCCAAATGTTCCCCTTGCGCCCCATGATGGCAGCCCATTGCTCCCAAGGGGATTGGTTAAATGCAGAGGTAAATTTCTCTGATCTGAGATCAATAAAGTTAAGTTATTAATAATTATTGAATGTGTGTGAAAACTAAATGTTGAAAAATTTAAGAAACCTCCTTAAGCCACAAATGTATACCATCTTTTAGACTTCAAATAACAATCTTTAGCCCCTTTAACCTGTGAGTAATGAGGCTGCAGAACAGTGGGGGCTGGAAGGACTGGGGTCCTTTAGATGGAGGCCAGTAGGGATGAGTGACCGGGTCGCCAAGCTATATATATGGTCATCTGTATTCTTGCCCAGATCTGAATTAGGTGTTTAAAACTATTTTGTTTATCTGCTTTATTTTTCCTGTTTCCAGCCATTTTTTTTAAAAAGTCCTGAATTATAATTTCATATGAAAATAAAATACAGTGAGATAAATTCACTGTCAAATTGACAGATTCTTATGCAGGCCGTCACCAGGAGCCTCTAAGGTTTTTGTGTCACATCCCTGCTCTCTCTGTCTGGCTTTCTAAGGCTGGCTCAAAGCCAGGGTCTGGCCTCGCCCCAAAACAGATCAGCAGATCTGTTCCCAGCGGATTGTCAGGGCAGGAAGCAGACAGCGGAGCGGGGAAGTGACCTGTCCTCAGCTCCCTGTTTCCTCCTCTTTCCTCCTTTTATACCTGAGCTGAGAGGAGAGGTGAAGGGTTTCTTACAATGAAGCCTTTGAGGAATAGAGAATCAGCCCGAGCCATTTGAAAATGATCTGCCCCGTCTGGAGTTTTGTGAAAAAGTATGACATTTACTTTGTCATTTTCAGGTTTGGACAAGTATAGAGAGACAATATGGAGTTTCCACTTTATTCCAAACAGAAAATAAGGCGCTGCCCTGAAAGAGTCCATGTTTAGTGTTTTACTATACGTTCCATATTTTATTAGTCTGTGTTAAGGATCTTTTTAAACAGAGCTAATCTAAGTTAATTCACTATCAAAACAGATATTAGCTAAAGAGTCGTATTAGTTTTTTTCCACCAAATTTTCTTAAATCTTCTGTTTTTTGCAGCGAACACACAACTCTTTACCCTCGGTCTCTCAGATCTCCTGTATGTGATCAGTTAGTCAACCAATGATAGTCAACCAGATGAATACTGCTCAGATTGGATAAGAAGAGTTTGAATACATTAAGTCTGAAATTTACAGCTTGCCTGATGTTTTATAAAAGTAGTGATCTGTGGACATTTGACCTAAAATGTTCAATGATTCAACAGCTTATGCTTCTAAGATAAATAATGATAGTTATCATGTGTGGTGTCCTCAGTTACACGACTCAACGGAGAAGTATGAGGAGTACTACCGGCAGCGACTTCGGGTGCAACAACATCTGGAACAGAAGCAGCAGCAGAGGCAAATGTACCAGCAGATGCTTCTGGAGGGAGGGGTCCAGCAGGACCCCCCACCCAGTGACATGCAGCACAGCCTCACAGAGAAGTTCCTGAACAGGTACAGACACCGCAGGAGCATCACCACCCTGCAAACCACTATCAGCAGCTTTTTAGTCCGTTTCTCCCAGAGGGAAGTCTTGTGCAACCTCTAAAGGTATTGTGGAGGATTTTCGTGAAATGTTTTAAAAAAGACCCGCCCTCTCAAATAAAAAGAAATAAAAAAATGCACTTGCACCTTGTGCACGCTCTTTTTAAAAGATGCTGTTTGCGGGGCATGCAGGTGGCGCAGCGGTTAGCGCGCACAACACATTTATGGAGGCCTTAAGGGCTGGTCATACTCCCGCAGCAGTGTGTCGCAGTGAACTTGTCCCAGGTATGATGCAGACATTTTTAATTTTGAAGCGTTGTCTGTGCTATGTTTATTCCAGGCCACAACGCAAAAGGGGTTAAATCACGAACTCAGAAAAAGAACATCCTCTACTATGCCTTTAAAGACGGCTAAGGAGCAAAAAGTTCCTCTGTAGGTAGATTTGTGCTCTTTGTGGAGTTGCATGTTATGAGCTGAGGTGCAGGTTTACAAGATTTATAAAACTATTACCACAGATTCTTTTTAAAGAATGAACCATAGCATTTTAGTTGACGTTTTTTTTTTTGGTTGGACAATAATTCCATATCAACATATATCACAGCATAATGTTCAATGATTTGGGATCACAGGATTATTTTTAGCATTAATTGGGGACCTTTAGATTGTCTTTTCAGAGCTTTTTAAACCAGCAACAGTCTCCAACAATAACCTTACAGTACGTGTTCAGATAAACACGTAAGGCTAAAGCGTTTTGTCTTTTTTCGGCTACTGTGATCAAATACGGTGAAGTAAAGTTGTTGGAGATATTTCCACATAGGACCTCCAATGGACATAAAAGTCCATATATCTTTTTCACTATTATTTGTGTTTGTCTGTTTAATAAAATCCCAGTCAACTCCCTCTGTGTAGTTTTTAGGAGTGTGAACAATCAGGGTATTCTGGGTCGGCTCTGCTCAGGTTGGCTTGTTTGGGGGAGCTGCTTTGATTATGGTGTGGCTCTCAGTACGATCAAAGAAAAGAGGAGCAGCTGTCAGAAAACATGAAGCTGACATGTTAAGGTCCTAGAAATAATGGTTCCCATGAGGCTTCCCCTCACAGGGCGCAGCCCACTGCAGGCTGTGCAGCACCATCTGCCCTGAGCAGCTTCACCACCTGGGACTCTCACTCTGTGTTAAAATCCTGCTTAATAATGAGCACAGTGTCACAAACTGAGACTCTACGATGATCATGCTACAGTAGATCTACTGGAATATAGTGATTTAAACACAATTAAGAAAACATATCAATATATTTTAACTCTTCGAGGAGGAATCAATCTCTTTGGTTCATTCTTCCCTCTACTCCTCCCTCTCCCCTAAATCTCCTGTCTCTCTTGTCTTCTACATTATTCAGAAGGGTGACTGCGCATAATGAGCTCTATTTTGCTTTTATCGTCTCTGCTTTATTTTTCTCTGGATGTCGCTATTCTATTGGAACATAAACAACCTCCAGACAAAGTAAAACACAAAGAATGAGAACAGCTTTTGATGTGGCTGTTGTGCAGGTCCATCCAGAAGCTGGAGGAGCTTAATGTGGGGATGGAGAACCTGGGAGAGGAGGTGAAATCTCTGACCCAGCAGTGCAATGGGAACACGCCCGCCTCAGAGGAGAACAACAACCCCCAATCTGTGACTCCTGAGCAGAACCGGAGCCGAGGGGGAGGGGTGGTCAGCAGCACCCCGCACCGCGGCGAAGGGGGGCGCACCGTCCCACCTCCAAATGAGTCCCCTGTGGTCTCAAGGTTGGTGGGATTTCTTAAACTCACATTTGCTTGTTTTCCCCCTTAATGAGGATATATCTGAGGCGCTACTGTTTGTTTCCAGTGGTCAGAAAGGGAAAGGTCATCCCAGCGACTCTCCTGGGTCTCTATCTCGGAGTAAAGAGGTAAGGAGGCGTCACTAAAGTCAAGCCAAAGTAATGCCCACAGCCTTTCAGGCACAACATGACGCGTTATATTCATCAAACTAATGTGATATTATTGCTGTATTTTTAGGATGATCAACCAAAAAGCCTGTTTGTACCAGTGCACACCCTGGAGGACTCCCAGGCTGTCCGAGCCGTCGCCTTCCACCCGTCTGGTGCTCTGTACGCGGTGGGGTCCAACTCTAAAACACTGCGAGTCTGCGCCTATCCAGAGAAACTTATCCCGAGGTAACGTAGCTATAGCTAAAGAGCTTTCTTCTACTAGGTGCTTGTTTTGTTTTTGTATGTTAGTTGATGTGTAATGGAGATGCTCAGATGTTCTAGTAGGGTCATTCAGAAAAGCCTTGGTGCTGGAGACTGTATGAGTAGACAAATAACCGTCATTAGGCTATAGCCCCATTTACACTACCATCTGAAAACTGATCCCTGATGAGCTTGGTTCCTTATGGCCATTTACACACCAGGCTAACACAGCTTCTCTCCTCCTAGTGACGATCTATGGTATTGTGATATTTTGTTGTTTGTAGAGAGTCAGGTGAAGAATGCAGCCTTTGGTGAATTTATTTGACAGAGTCAGCTTTTGTGAGCCAGAATGAACCGCGCCGAGCCCTACTGATGAAGTAGTACTGGTTTGGCGAGGGTCGATTGTGTCTGGCACGGTCCGGTTCAATGTTGCGTGTCATTTACACTCAACAGTTGTCTCGGTTACTGTGGTCAGACCGATCTCGTCACGGTTTCAAAAAAAGTAGTGTAAATGGGGCTTATGTTTGTACTAAATCCTAAGCAGAACATATTTTTCTTAAGTATTTACTATAAGACATTACCTCACTAACTTTATCTCCTATCATGTGCAGCCAGATGTTGGATATTAGGTTTAATTGGCTGACCAGGTTTCGTACTTTGTCCTTATTATCTTTTATAAAAGATTCATAGCTAAATATCTAAAAATGTAAGCCTTTTGATAATATTTTTCTTTGATTTATTGTATTATCAAACTTTTTGATAGATGTGGTTTTTGAGTCATAGATAACAGGTTTTCATTAGTTCATTCAACAAAAATGTTTTTAAAGCGTTTGTAATCAGTCACAGATAAAAAAAAAAAAGTTTTGATTCCAAATAAAATCATTATTTACATCTATAATTATTTTAAATGGCATAATTTGTCTAAGGGACTGCTCAGTGTTGCTGTGAGTAGCACTGCTGCCTTGCAGCAAGAAGGTTCCGAGTTCGATTCCTTTCTGCGTGGAGTTTGCATGTTCTCCCTATGCATGCGTGGGTTCTCTCCGGGTACTCCGGCTCCCTCCCACAGCACAAAAACATGACTGTTAGGTTAATTGGCTTCTCTAATTCTCCTTATGTGAGTGTGTGCGTGAATGGTTGTTTGTCTCTGCTGCCCTGTGATGAACTGGTGACCTGTCCAGGGTTGCAACTCGCCTCTCGTCTGTAGACAGCTGGAGAGCGGCACCAACACCTATCATGACCCCCGCTTGGGATAAGCGTGATGGAAAATGGATGGATGGATGTTTGTTTAAATTTGACATGTCCATTTTATAATGGACAATGAGATAAATGATTATGATCCAACAAGAAAAATTAAGTTTGGGGGTCAGTTATCTTCCATGTTATAAACTGTATAAAGGTTTATAGGAAGTAAATCTGAAAAACTGTCAGTTTTTAAATGAGCCCTGGTAGGTTATGGTGAGGTGAACTGAGTTGGTGTTAACATTTATTTTTTAATTTGATTGAAACTGACATAAATAAAATAAATATAAATAGTAAATACTTAAAAAGCGCTTTTTTATAAATTAATAATATTTCGTAATAATAACTAAATAGTTGTACTCCTTCCTGTTTCCCTCGCTGTAGCGGTTCGAGCCCAATTAAGCAGCCGGTGGTTCGCTTCAAGAGGAACAAACACCACAAAGGCTCCATCTACTGCGTCGCCTGGAGTCACTGCGGACAGCTGCTGGCCACAGGCTCCAACGACAAATACGTCAAAGTCCTGCCTTTCAGCGCAGAGACATGCAACGCCACAGGTCCGAGCTCTGTGGGAAATTACACCTCAAACGCAGACTTGATCAGTTTTTAAGTTTTGATTTGTTTCTCTGTTCATCCAGGACCGGACTTGGAGTTTAGCATGCATGATGGTACCATCAGAGACCTGGCCTTCATGGAGGGCCCAGAGAGTGGAGGGGCCATTCTGATCAGCGCTGGAGCAGGAGACTGTAACATCTACACCACGGACTGCCAGAGGGGACAGGGGCTGCACGCGCTCAGTGGACACACAGGTTACCATGGAGACCGACCTCTACACGTACACCTGTCTATATGTCTGAAGGACAAAGAACGAACAAAGCTGTTTTTCCTGTTGCAGGTCATATCCTGTCTCTGTACACGTGGGGAGGCTGGATGATTGCTTCGGGCTCTCAGGATAAGACGGTGCGTTTCTGGGACCTCAGAGTGCCCAGCTGTGTGCGAGTGGTGGGAACGGCGTTCCACGGATCAGGTCTGTGTGGTCGGAGCATGATATGTAGCACTGCGGTCAAAAATGAATGGATTTTTGTTATGGCCGCCGTCTTTGATGAATTTAAAGAGGATTTCATCTCTTCCTTTACTGAACAGGCAGTCCTGTTGCCTCGGTAGCGGTCGATCCAAGTGGGCGTCTCCTAGCGACAGGACAGGAAGACAGCGCATGCATGCTGTATGACATAAGAGGAGGTCGGATCGTCCAGGTGTACCGGCCGCACACGAGTGACGTGCGGTCCGTCAGGTTTTCCCCCGGAGCACGCTACCTGCTCACCGGTTCCTATGACACAAAGGTCATGGTCTCCAACCTTCAAGGTATGTCTTTGGATACAATCTATCCGCTCGGTGAGGAAAAAACGAAAAATTTAAACCAAAACATTTCTGTCCGATGTGTTTGGCAGGTGACCTGACCAAACCGTTGCCCCAGACTGTAGTAGGAGAGCATGGCGACAAGGTGATTCAGTGTCGATGGCACACACAGGACCTGTCCTTCCTCTCATCTTCTGCTGACCGCACCGTCACTTTGTGGACACAAAACCCTTAATTCAAACCAGATGGAAAAGATGTGCATTAAAACCTAAACCGATGCTTCTCTACTTTTAAGAACGATCACATCCAATCATTCCTGAACCTTTCCGTTTGACGTGCAAAACTAATATGGGTAAAACACCGGGCACATCAGAAGCACATGCTGCATGTTCCATATACCGGTAGTCCCCCAGGGTTAGAACAGAGTTATTTTCCTTCTATTCCTAAACCGAACGAGTCGTCCTGTTTTTTTTTTTTTTTGTTACTCTCTGCATACAAAAGTTTCCTTCTGCATGTCCCTCTCATTTTATTTATTTTTCTATGATGGTGCCTTTTCAGTCTCCATAACTAAAACAAACACTATGGTTATTTAAAAAGAAAAATTCTACATTCCTCGTCTTACATATCGTAATCAGCCGCAGTAAAGCTGCATTTGTTAAAGTGGAGAAAAGCCGATGTAACCTGTACCGTTTTATGTGCGAGTTGGGAGCTATTATACCATCTGTGGGGATTTGAAACATGGTTGTATCCAGTGCATTGCTGCAGCGCCGAATGTGTAAATTAGCTGTTTTTTTATTTTTATTTGAATTCAGTGTTTTTATCAAGCTAACGCTTATAGCTAATGTCTAGCAGTGGCTTGCTTGCATTGAAGGACCTTTAATATTCAGCATCCAGGAGATGTACAGTGTTCAGATTTCAGTTGCACATCCTTACAGGCGTTTTCCAGTGGTAAGCTTTGGTTTCTATGCTGCTGTTGTTGTAGTGTATTAACAGTAGGTGTCGGTCTTGGTCTAACCATATGCACAATGACATCTGGATGGAAGCACGGGTGTTTGGATTATTTATTTAGGGCATATGCTTTGTTTTTATATATTTTCATTAACACTGTATTTTATCTGTCAGATTAACTTAAAGATCGATATTTAAGTTTTTTCATGTTATAGAGTATATTGTTTTCAGACATGAGGCCAAACTAACGCATAGATGTATTTATTTCAGTGTTTCTGTATGTATGTACAGTTTGTTTTTTGAAATGCTAGCAGCTCTTAAATTAAACCTTTCTAACTCTTGTTTTTAAAATGTAACTTAAATGAACTAAGGCTTGATGAGGTCAGAGTGCTGGTACGTTCAATAAAGTGTCTTTTACACAAAACAAGATCTCTCCAGAATTTTTTTTTATTTATTTTTGATCTCACTCAAACATTTCATACAAAATAGCTAAGAGCTTTTATCTGTGATCATTTTTAAGGTATTCTTGTTTATAGAACTTTTGGGGCTTAAAAAAAAAAAAAATCTATACAAACACCTTTCTCAAACAGTCTCATTCACCAACATCAGCAGATTATTTTGGGATGGCAGTTAAAAGAATAGTAAAAAGGTACAATAAATACAAACATAGCTGCAGTTGTGCATTAAAAAATACACTAAAAGAATAAATGAAATGCATTCATAAAAGAGTAATTTCATAAAGAGATTTAAACAACAAAAGGAGTCCCTAAAGCTACTGCTGAAATTGCTGGTGTGCAAACATCTTTTCCATAGGCTGTACAATGTTTACAGTGCTTTTTTTTTTTCTTTGTCCATAAAGAACAACTGTAACAAAACGAGATATTTGTGTCGCAGTCATCGTCCACTTCATGATTTTTTTTGCAAAAGAACAAAAGAAGTGATTATTTTTGTCCCTTTTAGTGCTTTGTTCAGTTCGTGTTGGAGGTGGGCCTTCCTGCAGAGGGCAACGTAACGCGTTGCTCATCCATCCGTTTGGCCTGAGAGCGCATGATGAGGCTGAAGAAGTCCTCGTCTGGTACGGTGGGTCCTCGGACTGGAGGAGGGGGAGGGGCGCAGCGCTGGTCATCCAGACGGGAGCCCTGTGAGGGAGACGTCACAATCAGCAGCTGTTTAGTCCATTCTTCATGTCAGAATTTCTCATTAATAACTGCAAAGTTAATGGTCCTGCCATACATAGAAGTTAAATTGTAATATTCTGTAACAGGTAATTTTATTTCAGAAATTTAAAAAAGGGAAACACCCTGTGCTTAACAATACATCAAGTCTAAAGTTCAGTTCCTCAATCAGAATATTTTTAAGACCAATAAAAAAGATGTTTAATACAGAAATATCTGCATACATCAAATTATGTCAATGTCATGTACACTAAAGGCAACAGTACTTGGCAAAGGCTCCTTTTGCATGAGCAACTGAATCCCTGCAGTTTGGCATAGAGATGATTGGTTCTCCACTCCTCCACCAGACTCAGATCTTGATTCTCAAATCTAACATTTAGTTTAAATGCCACAGAGCAACTGTGGCATTTATAATCCAGAATTTAAAATCCAGATGATAAACCACCGTCTCTGGTTCCAGCGCAGCTTTAAACTAAGAATCCATCTCCTGGATAAGTCTGTTAGGCAGTGAGAGTCAGAGCAAATACGCTGTTTTACTACTATAATAGTACCTATGTGAATCTGCCTCAAATTCTTAAAGATCTGCTTGCACAGCTCTTCCGATCAGGCTTTTTCCCCTCCCCTTAACTTTCCATTAACGTACTCGTATAAACCACTGAAGTGCCAGTTTCTTTCACAAGGACCTTTTGAGGATCACCTTCCTTTTGAAAGAAACAAGCGATGCATTACTGATGACGATTGTGGTGATGTTTAATATTTTTGCGAACCCTCACCTCTAGGAGCTGTCGATCATCTACCATGTTTTCTGTGAGGAACTGTCTGGGTAGTTGTTAATTTTCCTGACCTAATGAATGTTAACAATCAATTTTATTACATTTTGTGTGAAACAAAATGTGTAGTTTTTACTATTAAGTCCTAAACATCCAAATCAATAGCTAATCTTTATTCTTTAATTTCAGGAAAAAAAATGACAACCTTTCACAAAAATGATAGTAAGCAGATATATGATCGATACATCTCTAAGATTACGTGAAAATAAAATACTTTTTTTGGGGGGGGTTTTCAGGCTGGAACATAGAATATTTATAGAAAAGAAAAAGAGAACTAAACAAAGCAGCCGAGTCTCTCCCAGCTCTGAATGATCACCTGGCACTTGACGAGCATATCAAAGAAGTCGTCATCAGGCTCGGCATTGTCGCCGTTGGCCATCAGGTGATTCAGCACCGCCTGGTTGCTGCCCTGATTCAGTCTCAGGCCTGGCAGGCTTCCTCCCGCTGCTGACGATTCCTCCAACCGTCTCCCAGAGGATCCTGATATGTTCACAGACTCCGATACAGCTACAGATTAAAAAAAATCAATATTAGAATAAAGCATTACTGTGGGGATTTTCTTATTATTTATTTTCTTAATTATTTTTCTTGATTGGTTGTTTGGACTCACATTTTCTGATGGTTCTGGGGGGTGAATCTGCTCCACTGTTTAATGACAACCTGCTGCCTCTGTCCTGTATGGAACAACGCTGATCATCCATACGATTGCTTTGGAACCGACTCAGAAGGTCGAAGAAGCCTTCATCTCCGAGCATGTCAGGAGAGGGTCGCTGATTTAAAAAGAAAACAAGAAATAAATGAGAACCGATCGGGATCATTAAAGGACCTAAATGAGTGCAGCGCTACATACTTTCTGTGGTGCAGATGTTTGACTTGTGTCCAGAGTGTTGCTGGTGTCTTGAAGGACCTTAGTGGAGCCTCCGGCTTTGTTCTTCTTCCCTCGCAGACGGCTGACGAAGAACAGCTTAGAGGAGCTCTTGGTCAGGGAGGGTTTGGACTGCTTGGTCAGGATCTCACTGCTCCACTTCTGACCCTTCAAAACAGAACCAAGCTGATTTAGAAAATAAAACCTCACAAGAAGGGAAATAAAACCCAGAAGACTGATCCTGTTTTCAGGAGCAGTAAAATGCTGCGCTGTGTGAGTAGTTCTTACATTCATCTTGTCAGGTGTGAGTTTCATCAGCTCCAGGTTCTCCATGCTGTGTCGTCTGCTCATCCTGGGCTTTGCTCCTATTTAAAATAAACACAGCAGACATTATTCCACCTGCAGTGTATAACTTTTGGCATTTTGAATTAGTATACATTGAGATTTTTTTGTTCTCAGAGGCTGAAGCTGGCAGGTAGTCTCTGACCAAAGCAGATATTGACAGTAGATGGTTATTTAGACAGAAAGCAGCAACTATTTACTGGTGAAATAAAGGTCCAGATGATGCACCATTGGGGATTTTCTTATGTTAAACATGTAAACTGACAGCAAACAGCTTATTTTATCCTATCGCTGCGTGTCCTGAGCTCTTAACCTTATCAGCGACCCCTCACACCCCAACCATGGAATATTCTCCCTGCAGCCCTCTGGAAAGAGGCTTCACAGTAACCGCTTCTGTTATCAGACTGTTAAACTCTAAACTGGACTCTGCATTACACTCAGATCATTATTCTGCACTACCAACTTGCTGAACTTTTATATTCCTTTTAAATAGGACACAATTCAAATGTTTATTTTTGCATTGCCCTTAATTTTTTAATATTAATGCCTTCTTGCAACATTATTTGAATCTGTTTCTTTTCTCCCACATTGTTACATTCTGATCACTGCTGCATTTTATATTGATAATGTTTATCTTACTCCAACTGCAATATCATTATACTGTTGAAAAGATGCATGCAACGAAATTTCATTTTGTATACACTCTGTGTATATGAAATAAAAATAAAGTTAGTCTAAGTTATTTGGTCTGTTCTCAGTAAACAGAAAGAGGTCTAATGCCCCCCATCTATATTATTAGAAACCTCAGTGCAAATAATAGCTTGATGCAAACTTTGTGTCACTCTAAAGGTTCCTACAATAACGAGACAAAGACCAACTCCTCTAGATTTACATCAACCTCTATTATTTGTACTTTATACTATTTACCAAAGCTAATCTCTCAACAGAACCTCACACACTCTTGTTTGAAGCAGCAGGATTATCAGGGTTTTACCATGCAGGTTGTAGTCTATTTCCTTATTCTCAGACAGCGTGGAGTTGTTTGTGCTGTAGCTCAAACCCAAAACAGTCTGAAGATCTGAGACATTCATGCGAGCAGTCAGCTCCCCACTCCTGTCTCCAGTCTGGAAGGAAGGAAAACAAAACGTCCAGTGAGAATAATGCATTGTCAAATGCTCTGGTCAGGGTTTATGCTTTCAGTGATTTTAACACATAGGTGGCCATAATGATGGTTACTAACAACAAACTTTAATAATTAAAGATCCTCATTTTTAAGCCAAACTCAGGAAGATATTAACTTTTCTAAACCAAAGGAGCCAGTTGTTAAATATCCAACAGGAATGAGATGTAAACATGCAGTAGGAGAGATTCTGAAACATAAACCTGCTTCATGTAAAAAAAAAAAAAGATTGATTAAAATAAAAATAAAGGAAAAGATTTGCTAATGAAAGAGTCAAACAACCTGGTATGTGACACCTGGACACATTTCCAACTTCATAAAGGAGCAAAAAGCAAAATGTCAAAAATTTCTTATTTTAAAAAAAGACTTAAAAAAAGTCTTTTGAAGAACTAAATTGACATTTTCAGATGGATTATGGTGAGACGTCACACACCATCTTTGTGCTGTTCTCCAGGCTCATGTTTACATTGCCAGGCTGACCACGCCTATATGTTCACCTCGTGCATGTGAACAGCCTCCACTCAGGGCTTAACTGATGCTAAGTTGATTAAATTCAATATGGCCTGATGATTCATTTAATTATAAGACAGTTATTATTATTTAATGCAGCCCAGAGGGGCTTGTTGGCGACCCACAGTAATCGTCAAAAACTTCAAGAACGTCACGAATATTCTTTTTTTCTGCCCGAATGCCAACACCTTGAGTCTGTTTCCTTTACTGTAAATCAAAATGACAAGACGAGGCAAACAATCCATTTTATATTGTACAACAAAATGGTCTGATTTTCATGTGAGAAATCCATCGTATATATAATTAGTATAACCAAATTAGCCGTTGTATGTTATTGACTGTAATAGAAAGTTGCATTAAAATGTAGTCTTTTGATCTACAGACAGTGCTCAACAGCACACCAAGAGGTTAAAACATGCTTTTTGCTCCTTTGAGGCCTAAATTAGATTTAAACTGTTCGTAAACCCTGTCTATTGCTCTGCTGTGGTTCAGTCTATCACCTCTTTGCAGATCTCGAGGTGCTTC